TAGTCATCCGAAAGGAGGGGCAAGGAATCCAGGGGTTCAGACGGGACAAGTCCAGAATGAACCTCAGATCCGCACAGTCCCGTTTCGGCACTGGAAACAGGCGGGAAACCCACCTGAGGGACGTAGTCGGTTCGACCACGCCCAAGCGCACCCACTCCAAGATGACTTGACGAAGCGCAGGAGAAGAGACCTGCCCTGTTAGCCCCGAACCCCCCAAAGGAGGACGAGTCGCCCAACGCCACCGCAGGCCGGATGACACGACCGAAAAGGCCCACAAATCGTGGGACCAAGCGTGGGCAAACAGAGCGAGCCTCCCCCCCATCGCCCCGTCAACGGGGCAAACTGCGAAAGGGCCGACGCCCCGCACGAGAACCCAACCGTCGAACAGGGCGAACACTGCGCCGCCCAGACGACGCTGGCCCCAAAGGGAACAACGGCTCAGAAACCGGCACCAAAGGCCCACCTCGACCAGCGGAAACCGAAACCCTGGCACGACCCCTCCGAAACTGCCGAGAACGACTGCTCCGGAGAATCAACAAGTCCGCCATAGGACGACAACTAGCCGAAGCCGCATGCAGAAACTGGGACACCGCAGACTCTGCAAACAGCAACGGACAAAAAGGAGACGAAAACCTAAGAGCCAGGGCCCAAGCGGAATCCAAAGAGAGGGCGAGCACAGCCTGACGGCACGCGAGGCGAGAAGCAAAAAACAGAGACACCGCTTCCTTCAGGATGGGCGCAAAGAGCTTCAACAGTGCAGCCGACGCCCTAGCTGCCGAAGAAAGCGCCCCGGACGAAGGCCCTTCAGCCAACGCTCCCACATCCTCCTCGAGCCAAGTAGAAGAGAGCTCGAGAAGGGAAAAGAAACGCAAGACCGAAGCCAAATGCCCACGGGAGCGCAACTCCTCCGCAACCAATGAAGCCGAAAGCTGAGGAACCTGCACGTGAAGCTGGAAAAGGCCAACATCCCGAGAAAGCACAGGAGCGAATAAGCACGCATTAAGGTGCTCAAACTCGCCCCCCAGGTAAACCTGCATAAAAGTAGCAGTCTCGCGCCAATCAAGCGTGCGGGTCCGACAGAACCCATGCCACGCCCCCAACGAAAAGAAAGGGCAGTCTGCTAGCCAGGAAGACCCCGGAACCTCCAAACGTACCCAAAAACGGGAAGAAGAACCGAACTCAAACGAGGACGGATCCATTGGGGAGGCATAACCCGGGTCTCGCAAGAGGTATGCAGCAAGAGCTTCCCGAGCCACCTTCGCAGAGAGACGGGAAGTAGCAAACCCCTGTAAAGACGGAGCCGAGGTACCCAAAGGCGCCCGGAACCGAACACGGGGAGGAGCCGAACCCAAATCATACTCATACAGGGAGGGAGGATAAGAAAACCCCTCCCCCTGCAACAATAAACCCCGTGGGGAAGGCAAAAGCACCCAAGCGGGGTCACAGGGGGCCCAAGGCCCCCAGGCCGACTCCTCCCCAGCCCCAGGATCCCTTACGTCGGGACCCGGGGCAGAGCCGTCCTCCAAACCCTCTACCCCTGAAGAAAAGGTAGAGTCCAAGGGAAAGGCAGACAAGGGGGCCTGCTGGTGGGACCCAGAAGCCTCGGCAGGAGGAACCGGCTCAAATGCCTCCGTCCCCGACCCGGATGGGGCAGCCCCCGAAGCAGCCCGAGTCTCTCCACCAACTAAATCCTGTGCCAAAGCCGAAAGCCGCATACGTTTCGGAGCCGGACACAGGGGGGGTGGTGCAGGAAGAACCACAGGGGAAGGACCAGAGGGCGTAGGAGTCAAAGCCATAGCAATCAACGCCCCCAGGTCAGGGTCCCTAAAGCCAAAACGGGGCAGCCTCGGGGCATCCAGGTGGGAAACCAACCTAGCGCGTTGCAATAACCTAAATCTAACATGCAACGCTGATGCTGCCTGTACTCTAATAGGAACATCCTCAGAGTAAAACCTGAGCACAAGCAGAGAACAGGACTCGCAAGACTCCGGGTCAAAGGTGTCATTGACCCAACAGGCAGCATGACGGAGGCAAAACAGGTGACTGTCACCCTGAGACAAGGGCACACTGCAACCTTCAAACCCGCACAAGGCAGGCTGGAACTCGGGAGACGCCTCCATGGGTCCCCGAGCCCCGACAGGGGTTTCCAGGGCCCGTAGGGTAGCAACTACGGGAAGCCCGGGCAAGGTGTTGCTAACCGGTTAAGAAACCCAAACAAAACACGGGTAAATGATAATACTGAAAGCCCCTGGGACGTGTACAAGCACGGGGGCCTAGCAGAGGACCACCAAAACAATACCAGGGGAACTATGGGCCCACGAGGCAGCACCTCCACCAGGCAACCAAAAACAAAACAAAAGAAAAACCCCGCAAAAGTACACCGTCCCCAGAGCAACAGGAACCGGTCGCCGCTTAGGTGGCAGGCCGCGCAACACCTTGACGCCCTAACCAGCACAAAACCACTCCCTACCCAAGGCCAAACAAGGGCCCCAAGCCCCAGCTGGCCCCAAGGGCGAGGCAAATGCCGAGCAGCAAAAACCTCTACGGGAGCGGTTCCCGAACGCCCCAGAGAAGATAACCCTGACACGCAAGGGCAGTACTCACAGGGCGCCTAGGGAAGGAAGCCCTAGACGCATGCAGCCCCGGCACTGATGAGGTACTCCTGGCCACCGCACACCACAACAACAGCAGAGAACGCCACACGAGGCAAACACCGCCAAGGAATTTGAGGCCAGAGAAGCGTCTATCCCGGTTGACACTAGCTTGCGAACTGACGGCAGCCGGCGCGGTGAGGTCCGGGGCCCCCCCCCTCCCCCTCCCGGGGAGGGGAGGGCTGCGCGGACGACCGGCGCGGCAGTAAATTGATTGTTTGATTGTTTTCCTTGGGATTGTAGGGAGTTTTCTACCTCTCTGTTCGGTTTTTGTTGTAGTTTTTTACCATGTGGGGTTTGTTTTGTTACGCCTACCTTTCTGGGTGCCTAACCCCGGTCGATGGCAGATAAGGAAAACCCCCAACCATATGGGGTTTTCCAGGGCCATTGCTCCCTGAAACCTCTCTGAAGGGGCCAGGTTCTGGCGCTGGTCCCTGGTAGGTCTGAACTCCATAGCTAATGTCCCGGTCTAACATAACACACATTAGCCCGATAAGCTCCAGGGAGCCGTAGGGGCTCCCCCCAGAAAGGCTAACATAGTTCCAATCTACAAAAGTGGCAGCAGGGAAGACCCCCTCAATTATAGACCTGTATCACTGACAAGTGTAATAGTCAAAATATTGGAAAAAATAATAAAAACTAATTGGGTAGAACACCTGGAGAGAAAAGATATAATATCAGACAGACAGTATGGTTTTCGATCTGGAAGATCCTGTGTATCGAATTTACTCAGTTCCTATGACCGAGCCACAGAGATTTTACAGGAAAGAGATGGTTGGGTTGACTGCATCTATCTGGACCTAAAAAAGGCTTTTGACAGAGTTCCACATAAGAGGTTGTTCTGGAAACTGGAAAATATTGAAGTGGTGACAGGTAAGCTTCTAACATGGATGAAAAATTTTCTGACTGATAGAAAAATGAGAGCAGTAATCAGAGGCACATAAATAATCTACCAGATGGAATACAGAATTATAGGACCATGCTTGCTGATGATGCTAAGATAATAGGAAGGATAAGAAACTTAGATGATTGTCATGCCCTTCAAGAAGACCTGGACAAAATAAGTATATGGAGCACCACTTGGGAAATGGAATTTAATGTGAATAAATGCCATGTTATGGAAAATGGAATAGGAGAACATAGACCCCCCTCTCCCCACAACCTATAAATTATGTGAGAAATCTTTAAAGAATTCTAATAAAAAATAAAAAGATATCTAAGGGTGGTTCTAGATAGAAAACTATCACCTGAGGACCACATAAAGAACATTGTGCAAGGAGCCTATGCTTCGCTTTCTAACTTCAGAATTGCTTTTAAATACAGTACATGGATGGTGAAATACTAAGAAAATTGTTCACGACTTTTGTTAGGCCAAAGCTAGAATATGCAGCGGTTGTGTAGTGCCCATATCTTAAGAAGCACATCAACAAACTGGAAAAGGTGCAAAGACATGCTACTAAGTAGTTTCCAGAACTGAAGGGCAAGAGCTATGAGGAGAGGTTAGAGGCATTAAATATGCCAAAACTAGAAGACAAGAAAAAGAGGTGATATGATCACTATGTACAAAATAGTAACAGGAATTAATAAAATTGATAGGAAAGATTTCCTGAGAACTTTAGGAAGAAGGTCCTGAAGAACTTTAAGAACAAGAGGTCATAGATTTAAACTACCTAAACAAAGATGCCGAAGAAATATAAGAAAATTCTGTTTTGCAAACAGTGGTAGACGGTTGGAGCAAGTGAGGAGGAGGCCAAAACCTTCAGTAGTTTCAAAGCGTTATATGAAAGAGTGCTAGGTAGATGGGACACCACGAGCGTAGCTCTCATCCTGTAACTACACTTAGGTATTTATGTAATTTCTAAAGAGAAGGCAGTAAGAGGAGTATATAGTATTTACAGAGCTCATGAGCACAGGGGTGACACCTGGGCTCAATTAACTTAACCAACTATTTTTAATGCACTTGTACTTATTGGTTGGATTTTCTCAGTTTGGATTCTCTGATCTCCCAAGATCCTCTCGCCTCATAGAGAGAAGCAGATTCTGGCTCCCAGTAGACTCGAATGGGTATCAGAGATGTGGAACAATTCTGCAAGGCTTGGCAGACCCAGTGCTTAGCTATGGGAAGCTAATCAAGAGTCCCTCCCAGAAAAGTCGTCCCTCCCAGACACTTACAAAACTATAAAAAGTTTAAGATCTGCATTCAACTGACAAACTCGTGCCTGGAGAAGGGAGGGAATGCATGGGAAAAGTTGAGTGCATTGGGCAGATCTCGGAACATGAGTGGCAAGGTGGTAAAGCTACAATCACTGGTGTGCAGTAGGAGAATACAAAACATCTTAACATCAGTACCTTGTGGTAATATGAACAGCATGCTTTTTAACAGCATGTTCTCCTCCCTTTTCTCCAAGTTCCTTGCGCACTGCATGTTCACCCTTCTCATCCAGCTCTGAGGCATACTCCAGCCAATCCAGGATGAGTCCATGAAATATAGGGTGAAGAGTGGAACATGAACTTGTAATGTAATCCCATGCTTGACTCTGTAAAAGAATATAAACACATTGTTATAGTTATAAGTAAAACAAGGCCAGTTGAAGGATACTATGTCTAAAAAAAAATTGTTAGACTGCTTAGTTAGTGATATGTTAGCTGCAAGTTCATTGTACACACAGCCAGGCCTACTGATACACTAAAATCAATTTAAAATAAATCATTTATTGATCAGCAGAACAGAAAGGTAATATACAAATGCAAACCCCAATAAAAATTTGGCAATCGCCCACCAAAAAAATGTCAAACGACAAAAAACCCAGCGGTGAATGTAATGAAACACCATTTTCTGGGTGAGCCCTGGAGGCTTCCTGGAGCTATCAGATTGATATATGCTATATTAGTCTGGGGCATCATTCAATGGAGTTCTGCTTACCGGAGACCATGAGCCAGAACCTGGCCCCCTCAGAGAGGCACAGGGAGCAAATGACCTATGGAAACCCCTGTTTTTGGGAGCATTCCATGTCTGCCATCGACCGGGGTTAAAGACCCAGAAAGGTAGGCATAACAAAACAAAACCCACCTGGTAAGAAATAGCAATCAATGACCAAACAGATGGACAGAACTGCCAGTTCTGTCCATCTTCCTCCAGTTCACCAGGAACCCAAACCCGGTGAGCTGGGAAAGAGCCACACCCCTGGTGAGCAGACAAGCAGGCAGGCTGGGAGCCCACACTAATCAGTCGTCAAGGTAGGCCAGAACCCGAACCCCTAGCAGATGCAGACAGGCTACCACGACCCGGGTAAGACGCATGTATACGCGTCTTACCGTATATAGAGAAAAGGCTCCCCTACAAAATACATTAAAATAGCTGGAATGTTATTTAGAATAATATTCTAATAACGAGTGTTTGAGTGAATAAAAAAAATATGGGATGTAAATAAGAGTTACAGATAAAACTTACAGAAGGCAACTGTTAGTATGTGTACTTTTTGTTTACCACCTATTCATATGAATAACATCAGTAACTCTGCTAATATTACCATACAAAATATATGCAAGAATCAAGTTGATCTAGAAATGAGAATAGTACAAGGCAGAAACTTGAGTGAGGGACAAGTAATAAGGGAGCTTACTTCCAGTAGAGTTGAATTTCCGTCTTCAGCCAGTAGTTTATTGCGCTCCACCCCAAGGTCAACAGAGTGACGCACCTTCAATGGGGAGTGACCCATACTGGTTGGGGCACCATCACTCTGTTCACAAAAAAAAAGATTAAATAAGATTAAGAAAAAAAATATTTAACCTCCAAAAAATTAATGTTGTATTAATGAAATATCTTTCTGGCAGGCCCTTAGTAGCTTTTGCAGCTAAGCTCTGGTATAAGAAAGCTTCAGAAGCTTTGTGAGCTAATGGCTGATACTGAATAGCCAATATTTCAGACTGGCACCAGGCCTCCAAGACTCGTGCTGTCTACCATGAGCCAGGATCAGGATTTTGCTCTGTGTTTAGAGCAAGAGAAGCATGGGGAGCAGATACCTACACAAAACTGAGAAATAATGCAAAGGAGAAAGGGAGGGTGCACCAGGAAAGAAGCCTCTGGTCCCACTAAACCAGAGTCTGTCCTCAGAAACATACCACAAAACCACAAGGTTGCCTGCCAAGGAGAGATTAAAAGGCCACTGTAAAAAAAAAAAACAGATAACAGCCCCAGATGCTGTCTTTGTCAGCACACCTGCTGCTGACTCCCAAAAGTTTGTGTCAAAGCCATATGAAGCCCAAACAATGTGGAAGGCAAAACAGCCTAAGGAGAACACAGAACCACAGGCAGATCAGTTGCAGAGGAGAGGGAGACCCTGCATAGAGCACACAGACTTAAAACCTCCACTCCTATGGCAGTCATGGACAACATGGTCTAGAGAACCACCAAGGACACATGAGGAGGCCACAGCTAGGGTGCCACCCTAACACCAGCATTCAATCACTGCAATACATAACTTGTGGTTGATGGCGATGGTTAGGAAAGGAAACCTGCATCCAACAGCTGGTATGACAATGACAACAGAAAGAACCAACAGTTCTGAAAATTCACTGAACCCTAGCCTAAAAACTACAAACTGCCAAATCTGGCTTTGAATTGGCTGAGGTAACCCAACCCAACCTAGCCATCAAAGAAAATAAAGAAACAACAGCCACTGGTTGCTCGGATCATTACATACATGCCGGAAACAAGGGGAAGCATTTTGGGAAAATTGCACACCTAATCCCGATTAATGCCCATCAAGGGGAAGGCGTATGAAGCCATTGACAAGATTCACTTAATGCAGCCCAGTGCACACCAGTCAAAGGAACAAGCACTTCAGTGCACATGAATCAGGGCCAGGCACAAGACTGAAAAGCACAGGAATCAGGGTTAGGTACAAGACACATTTGCAGACAGTTAACAACATTAACTTCCTTTGAACAGTTCTCACAGTGAGAAACAGGTGACACACACTACCTGGAAGCAAGGAAACTTATTGACAAACTGACTCAAAGCAGAAGCCTAAACCCCTCAGAGAAGAATTCTGTGGTAAAACAAGGAGCATGTAACCTTTGTTCATAGCCAGAGTGGATTGAAAGCTAGGGAACACAATTGTAAAGCACAAAAGAAATAAAAACAGAGCAATGATCTCGTATGGTACGGGAGTTCCAGGGATAGATAACACCACTTAGTGGAAACAGGAAGCAGCTGGATGGGTCCTTACAGTGTGGTCCAATTTAATATCTTGTAAGGTGGCCACATGCATTAATGTAAGAGTTATTAGCTCATGGTAACGAATGGTTGTCTTTTTCACTTCATGGGTCCATTCTTTCTTTTAAGGAATTTCTTGTTTTGTTTTACCTAACCTTACTGACAGAGACTCCCTGTGGATGAGTGGGTCTCAGAGGCCTGGTGTGATGCTCAAGGCTTAACTATGCACCATCACTTAACATCCAGGAAACTACAAGGTCCTCCCAAAACAGTGTCAAACATGGTAAAATATCTGAAACTATAAACTTTACCAGAAATGGTTTTGTTTTAATAAACTTTCTATGTACAGCAGACACAGACTGCATGCTGCAAATGAATACTGAACAATATCTACCAGAGTAACAGTCACCAAACACATACAAAGATGAAACAAAACAATCATCTTAGTATTCTACAACCAAAGTAAAAGAAGGATGTCTATGAAATTAAATGATAATTGTATTGATATGTAATTTTAAATTTATTGATCTGTATTTTAATCAAATATTTAATAAACAGATTTTTACTATTCTTGGCCTGACAAAAAACATTAAAATGGAATCTTTTACATGATAGAAATTAACTTTCAACCTTTAACATAAGACAATATTAACTTCTTATCTGAAACATAAGAAAATATTAATTCATAATTTTTTTGTCAGAAAGGAAGCATGGAAATAAATATTACTGTATATAAAAAATCTCGGCTTGTATCGAGATCCTGCAAAAGTCGAAATACTAACCTACCCCAGGATGCAACTCTCAACAGTTGCCTAACTCCCAGGTACCTATTTACTGCCATGTAAACAGACATATTAGGTGAAAGGATTAACTTCCTATCATTAGGAACTTAATCCTAAACCATTAACTTTCTACCATGAACACAAGACAATATTAATTTCCTATTATTATTTCAACCTAAGATAATATTAGCTTCCTACTATTAACGTAAGATTATATTAACGTCGTATCAATAAAATAAAATATTAACTTCCTACCATTAACATAATAAAAGAACATTAACTGGATTCGTTATTATTGTTTATTTGTGGGATTTACAGAGGTGGTTGCTAAATTAATTTACATAATGATTTACATTAGCAAGTCACTCGATTATAGAATAGAGAAGAGTTATACAAATAATGTTTCAATAACTTTTAATGAAGCTTAGCAATTACAGTACCTACATGCGATAAGTACAATAATTAATTTTTATTAATACATTTACTGGTGGTGTAATTGGTAACTAAATATTTTATGACCAATATTATCCAACTGTTGTAAATCAGGTTTCAATTTTAATCTTGCTAATGGTATTACAACTAAACATACTTTAAAGAGATAACTACAAATTAAATTTTAATTATGCATTAATTTATGTAGCACACAAGTAAACTCTACCTAAACTGCAATAGTGAAAGAATTATAAAAAAAAAACAGAAGTTTCCAGATAAAGGATACAGTATTCAAATGTACCTGTAAATTAATACACTTAAAACAATAATCTCACAATATAAGTCTTTTAGTAATCATGATTATTAAATCTATTTAGCAGCCAAAAGCACATTCTCTTAAGCGTAAATAGGTAAGTCAAGCAACCTACAATACACAAGACAATTTAGCTTAAGCAAAATAAAACAAAATTCAAAATACAAACATATACAGTATATATATACAGTATATAAAATTTACCGCAGTTGACGAGTCCCAAGGAGACTGAGAGGCTGTCCTGCAACCTCGTAACTTCAGGTCAGGCACAGAGTTAGACATGAGGCGCAGTCTTGCCTACAGACAAGCAAACCGGGTTACCTTACACTACATGTCTAGTGCTTACTCCAACAACACCAATATCACAACAGCATCAAATATACAGCAAATATTAATTCTAGTATGGTATTAGAAGCACTGCAAGCTGTTATGTCACTCCTACAGAAAGAAAATCACTACATTCATTCTCTCGATCTAAAATTCTTGAAAAGTTCTATAAAGAGGGAAATGTAAACATTATTTCAGTATGTATATATACATTACTGTAAACAAACCCACATGCATACAAATACACAACCGCACATGCGCACATACATCATCATTGTGGGAAGTATAGAAAACAATTTTGTTTAATAGTAGTGAAGGTAAATGGTACACAAGGGGTTTCCCAGAAAGCACTTACACAAACAAAGAAAGAATGGACAGGGAACAAGAGAAATTAATGTTGGAAAATGGAGATAAATTTTAAATAGAAAAGTGAGGGTCGAAACACTAATGCCAGTTTTTTGGGTGGAAGTGAAAGGGATACAAAATATTCTAAAATAGTGTCACTCTCAATGTTGGACAAAAATGTCCAACAGTGTTTCTAAATATAAAAGGTGCCTAAAGATGTCTGACAGTACTCTTTTGGAAAACAAAAAATGGTGGAGGATGCTGAAACCATCAGCAGTTTTATAGTCATATGACAAAGATTAGAAGGAAAACAGGACACCACGAGCATAGCTCATGTCCTGTACCTACACTTAAGTAATTACAAACACGCAGGCATGCACTCACGCATACATATACTGTACCAGTATTAACACATGCACAAGAAAGGTTGGGAGAGGATACAGCAGACAACTGAGAGTTGAAGAACAGGGTCTAAAACAGGAACTCCCTGCTTGTAAACAGAAGGTTACAACGTACAATACATTTACTGCAATTTCAAGAAAGTTTTTGACAGTTCCCTCATAAAACACTAACTTGTAAACTATAACAAATTAGAGATACAGTATTAGGGGGGCATATTACTAAAATGAATCTGAAAATCTGGTCTGAAGCTGAAGGAAAATGCAGACAGTGATAAAGTGAAACTACCTAACACCCACAAAAATCAGTATCATATTAGAATACTACAAGTAACGATGCTGAACTATGAACGTGACTCAACACAGTGAAAGTATTGTAGTTATATAAATAATGTACGTTGGTAGAAGCAAAATACAGTATTTTTGCAAATTGTGAAATCAAAAAATCTGCAAAACCCTCAAATTGAGACAGATAAGTGAAACACATGTTATAAGAAATTTATGATGATATTCAAGACTAATAAATGGCATCTACTGGAAATGAAGGAGACAAAAGATATCAGATGGATAAAATGTTAAGTGATGAACCCTCCAGAAAATCAGAAAAAAAGAAGGACCTAAGGGTAAATAAAAGGGATGGTATATCACCATAAACACACATACACTATGAACATTTTAGAATAGCTCTAATGCAGATGAATTGCAAAATGCTAAAATATTCTTAAGCACATATGGCATCAAACTGAATTATAAAGCTTTTTCTGAACCTAAACAAATATTGTATTATGAAAACAAATAAGTTCTAAAGAAGCAAATAAACAGATGCTACAGTTAAGATACAAGATTTATATATTAGGAAGACTGAAAATACAGTACTAAAACTGTCCAAATTGGAAAAAACAAATTTAGCTTAGAATACAGGATATGACAAGAACTATTCTCCGCAGTACATCTAGTTAGGAATTGCCGTAGTCATAGCAGATCAACATTTCACAAGAGCATTGCAAGAATTTTTCATACATCCCCAGGAGGTCATACTGATACTTGGTAAGTACAGGAAAAATACTAAATTTCAGCCCAGGGAAAAAACAAAACAAATCAAGTGCTAAATGTAATGAAATGCCCTTTCCTGTTGGGAAACTCAGTAGCTACCAGAACTATAGCACTGAATTACAGTATATGCTTAAGAGAATAACACTAGGCCTCCAAGACCCAACCAAGCCTACTGGAATCCAGTACCAGAATCTGGCTCTTTAAAAAGTAAAAGGGAGCTGGGGAATTAGAAATCAACCCAAAACTGAAAAAAATCCCACCAGAAAATATAGGTGCATCAAAACAAATAACCACTTGAAGGAAATTAGTGGTACTGAAGAATACAAGGCAAACAACCATTGCCGTTGGGTAAACGCCCCAACTGTGATGTGCCTGGCTCCTATCAAATGCCAGTCCAAGTCACACATGGTCTCCACCAAACACCCACCTCATTTGCAAGGCTGCTAAAACATATATACTGTACTGTATACCCAAAGTTTCACAAGTAAAAGAGAAACAGAGCGGGTACAAGGAGCTACTTAAAAGGACAGTTCATTACATTCAATGTAATGGGATGGCCTCGCCAGTAACTTTCCAGTTACCTCACAACAGAGCCTCAACAGAAGAGACTAGCTTTTCTGAAAAGGAAACAAAAGATTAATGAAGCAGAAAATGGACTAGGCTTACACATGTTGTAAGATGGTACGAGAGTATGGCCTGGGACAGAACATCAGTTTATCATCAACTGGAATATAAACAGCAGGCTGGCAAAGCATACCTACCTTATAGATAAACAAAGAGATGGGCCATCAAACAAGGAATGTGTGAGAGGGAGGGTGAAGGGGGGTTGACAAATAAGGCATCAATTACACAGCATTAATAGAGGGCAAATAAAGCAACACTGCAGCTATAGGACAGAGTATTGGACCCTTGAGATCCTTGAGCAGAAAAATACTAGGCATCAATGAATAATGGAGCCCTTTGGAAGGCAGATGTTTCATTCTAAGGTAAAAATTAGAAAAATGTTGGGAGCAAAGAAAACAAACAACAAGCATGAAAGAACAGAAACCATGCTTTCTGAGAAGAGTATGAAGCTCCCCCATCCCAACAGCTGGAATCAGGAGCTGGAGAAAAGCCACTAAAAATTAATCTTCAATGAAGTGAAACCTGAACTTGCAAAGACAAAAATGATAAAACTTGATTCAATAACCAATAAGTTTCCAGAGGCATGAATCAGCCAGAGGTGATAGAAAGCCGAACACAACCAGGAAATGGGGAACAATCATAAAACCACCTCAAGGCCAGCAGGAGAGGCTCTGCCTAAGTAATTATCAAAGAAGGCACCAAGCTGGGAAGGCTATGTAGCACCATCAAATATGCGGAATAATCAGAGGGCACTAAATATCACTGAGGATGCCAATATGAGAACAAACGCATAAGGCGAACGATATCAAAAGTATCCAATTCTCCAAGTATTCTATCGAGGGAAAAGTGATCGCGGGGAACGGTCAGAAAGCATGACACACGCTCGTCCTGGAACCAAGGACATTCGACAAGGATATGCACAACTGTAAGAGGGATAATGCAGTTAAGACAATAAGGAGCAAGGCGGCGCTCCATTAAATGTCCGTGAGTTAAGCGCGTATGGCCAATACACAGCCTTGCTAGAGCTGTTTCCCATCGCCGGTTACGGTGGTAGGAGGAAGGCCACAGGGACACACTACCTTTAAGAGTATAGGAGAAAACAGTTTTAGGATCAACTGGCAATTCAAGAATACCCAGGAAAGAAAAGACATCAGAGCTGACACAGATGCCAGCTACTGAAGAAAGAGGAAAAGGTGAAAGACCCGACATGGCCACCTCAAACTGCCACCGAAAAGAAAGTCGTAACTGTGACACCAAAAGGTCTACCACTCAACCTGGAAATATTCTCTTATTATGTTAAACAGAGGAAGATCAGTAAAGAGCCTTATACCATTCATATAAATCGAGCCACCAATTCACTGAGAGAAGCAGGGACTAGAGATGGGGAGAAGTAGGAACAAAAGACCAGATGAGAACGAACCAGGCCTTAACTAGGCGAGAGCAAGGAACCAGGCGAGAACAAGGAGGACTCAAATGTCCCCAACCTGGAAAACATGAGAGCTGGATTGAACAGAACAGGTTAAAATAGGATCACTAACTTTAATCCGAGTGAAACACATCCACCAAGGTCCAATGCATCTAAGAACAGCTCAAACAACAGACGAGAGTGTTATGGACCTGAACCTCAAAAAGAAAAGAGGAAAGTAATGAATCAAGATCTTCCACAAGTGAAGTCAAATATGCAGCACACCAAGAGTGTAAACCATACAAGCAAAAGTACCTACGAGACACTCGAGGTCTTGACAGGAAAGCAGACCTCTACCCAGCACTAGACAGCATCAGATGCTAAGGCACCTCTGAATCTTAGGAGACTGTCCTGGCATCCCAGATCAGGCGCAGTAGGCCTATATGGAAAGGATAAGAGCCACTACCAGCAGATAACCTGAACCACTAGAGCCCAAGCCAGTTAATAATCATGATAGCACAAAACTCGCATCCCACACAGACTAAGTTGTCAAAGGACCTCAGGAGTAAGTCTACTATACCAAATGACAAAGTCCGAAAGAAGAACAAGAGCTGCCCCACTTTGAACCTAGAACTTACAAAGCAAACAGACACCGTGTGAACCAGCAGCCCACTGGCTAAGGCTGAAGTGGAAGAGGAAACAGGCTGATAGGTGGCACATGTCCATGAGAAGATGCTTGGAAACTTACTTGGAAAACAGCAGAGAATCCATATTCACACCACGGACAGGGAATGCAAATGTCTAACATATAGTCTGGTCCAGCAAAGTGGTTGCAGTATGATAAGCAGCCATCCAAAAATATGGATCATAGATGATGGGACATAAGAGGCTGAACAATAAGATCATACGAGAGGTTCAAATCAGAATATTTTGCTGTATGTAGCAAAGTCCTTTGCTGTATAATGTACATGTATAGGAATCTTATTTTAGTTAGTGCAGTATTACAATCAAGCAGTTACTTGACCCACAATTTTGTTTGCAGCATAAAAAGAGTAGATCAATGCTTTAGAATAGTAGTGTAAGAAATCTAGAATAATCCTCAGAGTTGCTATCATTAAAATTCTCATCTTGCCTGTGTGCAAAAAAAAAAAAATCATAAATATTTAGTTTCTTTCAGAATAATATATTTGCATGCAAAAATTAAGGAAATGGCACAAAGCAAAGGCATCCAAGACTTTTCTGCCTTGGTGCACAGTTGGTGGAAGCCATGTAGTAGAGGATGGAGATGTCAATACGAGGTATGGAGTTTGCTAGCTCATAGTGGAGAGGTGAGAAAATTTGTGTTCAAGTAGGATGGTTCATATGTTTGTTGTTTCACTTTAGTGATCGAGTTATGTAAATAGAACTACAACATAATATGCATACCCATATTGCACATAATTCCTATTGTCAAAGACAAAAAGCCTGTACAGTACTTAGATTAATATCGAGGTCTCCCCCCTAGATTGAATAACTGACCTTCCCAAGGATGCCACCCACAACAGTTGCCCAATTCCCAGGTACTGTACTTAATTGCTCTCAGGTGAACAGAGGCATCAGATAAAAGGAAATATGCCCAACCATGTTCTGTCTAGTCTGGGAATTGAATCCGAGATCCTTGATTTCAAGTCAAGAACAAACTACTGTACTACACGATTATAAACCTATTTCAGGAACAGCTCAAAGGAAATGTCTTGCAACCCACCAATTTGCTGCTATTTTGCCTGAGAATATTTTCTGGAAACATATTCACATACTGACAGGAAAGGCCAAATTGTGATTTGATGATACTGTAACCAACAGCTACTAACTAGCATGTACATGATAACCTCATTGCATAGTAACCAACTGCAGAATGATAGCCATGATTCATAATAAAATTCAGTAACTCCATTACATCCATACAGGTGTATTATAACCATATTTACCACAGTGGTCTAGAAGATCAACCTGTGATGATAACTGACCTTTAAGAAATAAGAAATATACTGTAGAATAGAGTATAAGACACTTTAATGTTAACTTAATCAGGCTCTAACATCATTTTGTAAGTGGAAATAACATATTTGTTTTTGTTTTATTTAAATATAGTACTTACTGTAATTAAAAATGCAGCATTTTAAAATGTAAACATAAAATTCTACTTTAAAAAAAAAATAGCAAATAATCAGACAACAAAAAATTGCAACTCACAAGACAAAAGCCAGCCAGTCTAACAAACTCATCAGACCTCATTGAGACCACTAAAATGTATTTGCCAGTAACAAAATGTTACACTGCTGTGAGATTTGTAACAAAATACAACTCTGCAGTTTCCCAAAATGCACTCTAAATAAAAGTAAAAAGTATATTGAGATTTCTGTCTACAAAAATGTTATCTAAATTTCACAGCCTTGTTGCCTATATACAACAGACTGAAGGATGCTTTAAAAAGTAACTTGATGTTGAGAATAATAAAAAGCTTTAGTATGCAGTAGAAATGACTGAAAAATAGCCCAAATGCATTGAAAGTGAAACAAAAATATTCATATTGGGTTTGGGTCATAAATTACTGTCCACTGCTTAATACTTAATACTTAACGCTACAAGTCTAAAAATGGCAGTCTAATAATTAATTAATTCTCAATAAAATTCATAAAAATACATTTACGTTATTAATCTGGAGAATTTTTAAATATTTCCTAATACATTCTTAGTCAAGTTGTATGAAAAAACTGAAGTTTTACCTAGTGCATTATGTCCATATACTGCAACAAGAATTTTTATTAGAAATGAAAATGATCTCTTCACTGTGCCTGGTGGATACATTATAAGTGGTCTCGGTAAGGATCAGCAAGCTTAAATTATACGAGTAAACAGCTTTAAAATTTAATAGATTTAACCTGAAGTAATGTGAGCGGTGAGGATGCTCGTTCTCTCTGGTTGTCTCCTCGTCCTTCACTGGGATGCACCATCTTCTTACCTGCAAGCCAGTTTGTACATTTTCACTTTATGTAAAGCACAAAATAACATAACTGCCTATTATGTGATATATTTATAACTACATTAGACAAAAAAAAATGCAAATATTAAAGTACTGTACTGCAATTAATAAAAATTATATCACACAGAACTGTTGGCATTGGTTATCTATGGCAGACCACTATGCTTAGATAAAACTGCTTTGATATTATATACACAAATTTTTTTTCTTCGGTCACATCCTTAAAATCCAAGGGTGCCCTGGAATTTCCCAAAATGTGAAACATTTTGGTTTTCCATTGTCGGGAACATAAAGCCCATTAACCTTATCCACGTATTCATAAGCCAACTGCTGACCTTTCCCAGAATACAACCCATAACAGTCGCCTAAATCCCGGGAATCTATTTACTGCTAGGGGAAGAGTAGTAAGGTGCAAGGTTCCACAAATAAAACTACTGACTTTCCCCAGAATGCAACCTATAACAATTGCCTAAATCCTGGGTACTTATTTACTGCTATGTGAACAGACACATAAGGTGTAAGGAAACGTGATCAAATGTCTCATTCGGGCATGTTTCCTGCCCAGGTGCAATCGGGTGTGCTAAGCAGTGCACTACAGGTCACCCAACTGTACTGTCAAAGGTGCTACAAGTTAATAATTATTCTAGATTTAAATGATTTACTATGTACTGTATCTAATATTTCTTAATTTATTTTTGCATTATAGTAATACATCATAGAATGAGAGTTCCCAGAGGACCCAAGCCCCGTAGATACAGCTCTACACAGATTTTTGTGCATTCACAACTTATCATGCTATTCTTTCAGATCAATACAATGCAGACCGTCTTTTGAACACAAAAAAAATATTGCTCTCCTGTATATTTACTCTCAACATTATTCTCTTCTCTCTGCTTCCCATTTTATAGTATGGCCTCATTGGTCTATAATGGCTCCCTTAACCAATTATTAATAATAATATTTTATTTATAAGAAAATCACAGTCTAATAACAAGGTTTACACGGTGGGTATATTAATACATTAATACAGTATTTGTTATAAAGCCAATAATCCCACTCAGTAATTCAGAGAAATCTTAATATCAGTATGCGTTTAATTGCTACTTTTCAAAATAATACACACACAAATGTAAACAAATTGGGATGCAACTCCTTACTTCAATCTTTGTTTGTTAAAATTCTCAATATTCAGTTCATATATAAAATAGTATTTTCATTTCTCAGCTGAAGCATTTTCATCCTTCTTTGGGTAATTTCATCCACAATTTTGGAAATTATATTTAAAAACATTTGGATCATGCAAAAATGTTGATGTTTTAACCTTATAAAAGTTACAAAGTAATTAAAACAATTACAAATACAAACACTATACAAAATTTCCAATGAGATGCAAGTCCTTAAATATAAAAATATATATGGCACATTTTATATATACAACTACTGTATAAAACAAAAATGGAAGTCATGCAATAACAACCTTACAATGCTTATGATAGTGAAAATGTAGTGACAACTTACTTAGAGTACTAGATATTTCTCACTAAACCCAAATTGTGTCAACAAGACGGTAAACTGACAACCCCAAGTGTATCGCTAACTTTCAATTTCTCCAGACTCTCAACTGACATTTACACGAGCTCTCCCATCACATAATATTACCAACCGAGTTCATCACGTAGTATTCAAGCTTACAGATGACAGGCCAAATAGATCATCACACAGCATTCAAGGTTACAGATGATAGGCAAAATAAATCATCAGTATTGCACAGTATTCAGTGTTACAGATGATAGGCAAAACAAATCATCATGCAGTATTGAAGGTTACAGATGACAGGCAAAACAGATTATCAAGAAGTATTCATCATTACAGACGACAGGTCAAACAGACCAAGTCATGCAATATTCAAGGTTACTAATGAGAAACAAAACTGATCCAGTCACCCAACATTATCATCACAGATGACAAGCTAATTAGTCCTTTTACATTAGAATTTAGAGATACAGAAAAATATTTCCAGGAAAAAATAGGGAAGAATTTATAATGACTGCCTTAAGGTACAAAGCATGAACAAAAATAGATTTGAGTATAGATGAAAAGCTTTCTGGTCAGGCCTCCCAGTTTCCTTCAGTAATGGTATGCTCCTCGCATAGACAAGAACAGAGACAGCCGGGCAACTGTTGACATTTACTCATCATGGCAGGGAGTTTCCCAAAAGCTTCCGACATGTGACAATAGGGAAAGGGAGGCATTGGAGATTACTCAATTCAGCCCAAAATGATAACAAAAATAAATAAAATAAGATAAAAAAAATACATTTAAATAACTTCCAGTACCTGTTAATTAGCCCCTCTGGCTATTGTCAGATATCAACCACAGAGTAGCAAGCCAGCTTAACATGTATACATGATTGGATTACGAGTACAACTTTGTCCCAATACCATCACAGACCTTTGGCTTCCAAAACAAAATCAACCATAACTTTCTCCAAGTTAGAATCTAATAAAAAAAAACTGCCAGAATCACGTTGCATTGTCACAGCATTGTGATCCATTACCTGAAAGAGAATGCCCTTTGCATGCTGCCAGGATTCTGAGGTGCAGGAGGAACTTTACAACCTCAAACATTAATGTTGTGTTGCTACTCCAGCTGAATTTATGTAATACATCACCCTGTTTCTGCTTTCATTGGATGATGAAGATAAATCCAAAGACAGGAAAGCAGTGCAGGATATGGAAAAAATGGTGATGTTAAATAACGTCACCCCATTCATGCACCATTTATTATACGCTAAATAGTATCACTGTGTACAGTATGCCTTGTGAATTGTCAAACTGTTTGTATAAACATCAAACCTTGAGGGACTAGGAGTAGGAAATATTCCTGAGCATTTAAGATAATCAGTTAAAGAGTCTTTTTAAGTGCTTATTATTCTTGCCAACAAGACTATTATGTCTTCAACACATACATGTAAAAGTTACTGTATATTTATATAAACATATATGTATATAATAGACCTCGTTATCTTTAAGCACAAAATGTTTTCCATAATCTTTTTTATTTAAATAACTTGCATTGTAAAAATTTGATGAGCAGACCAGAAAACATGCATGTATGATGCAAATGATGAGCAGTGAACATGCATTTTGTTAATTTTGTATGCTGATATCAACGCACAAGTCCAATGAAGCAGCATTACCCCCCGATAACTAGCTACTGCAAACAAAATCATTAAGGTACAGTAATATGAAAGGCAAGTGCTGTAACATTAATTAAACTAATGTTTAAAGTATTATACAATTAATGCAAATCTGGTTTAACTGGTTGGGAGCTAAACTAATGAAGCAAATATGGGTAGTACATTATTAGTAAAGTATATACAGTGTACTGCATTATAAGTGGGTTTTCTTTGGTAGCTTCCAGACTGGACTTTAAAAAATACAAAGGCATTGCTAAATATTATCTTGTACAGTACACACAATACAGTACACTACTTCCATGTAATAATTAACTTACTCCCTAGTTTATTTGCCATTCTTGGGAGACATACATGAGGAGGGACACCCGAGACGGAGACTGAGCGCGTGCGGTCCTCTACTGGCTGAGTCCCTGTCTCCAGCAAACTCACTGATCTCATTGCTGCACCTCGTGTTTCTACATTTAATTAACAACAATTATGGAATTCTCTTAAATAATGCACATATGTGTATAGAAAAAACAAATTTCAAATGCCTGAAGGAATCATCTGAAATATACTGTGCTGACAAACCAGTAACCTCTTTATCATTATTGCGACATTAAAAATACATATTTATTTCTGGAAATGCACAGATATAATGGTTACAATACATAGCTCAAAATTACCAGCTTCTTGGAAAGGAAAATTTGGAGCATTATTTGAAAGAAGCAGCGAGGAAGGTTTGAAGGGAAGGTAAGAGGTTGAAAGAGTGAAAGGTTTGTGTGGTGCTAAGAGCCATCTGAAGAAAAATCGGCTGTAGCCACCCTGTGCTAGGAAGATCCTGGGAAGATTTAAGGTGTCCTGACTAAAGATGGAGTGGAATGTTAGTTAGGCATAGCTAATTTGTCAAAGTGATTTCTTATTTTCCTGCGTAAATGGAAAGTAAGCATGACCATGAATATGTGAAGTGCATGAACACTAAAAACTATGACAGAAGAAGTTGTATAAAATTATTACAAGGTAATGATATATACATAAATATGACACCTTCTGTAATATTTATTACATAAGATATAAAAATCTCAATTCAAACCTCACAAGGCAAAATAAAAATAATTTAACAGCTGCTGTAAAACTGAGGTAGTAAAAAAAATTAACCTGAAACCTATATGAAAATTAATCAAGCCACAGACCTTCAAAAAACTGAAAGGAATGGAATAACCATTGGAAAGGAATAAATAAGATTATACAATGGAATAACCATTGTATAATCTTATTTATCCCTCTGGTGATATGTAAAAGAGGTGGCAAAGGTTCAGACAATTTTCAGATAAAAATTAGGTATTGCAGGTAAATTAATTTCAATTGTGCAACAGAATAGTGAAATATATTTGTTGGTTTGTCTGTAAATTTTAGAACTTCATAAGAGTAAACTTCATACACACAATACAAGGTCATTACAAAGGATTAAAGTCTTATGGGAAAATAACACTATGGTATATGACAAAAGTTCATATTCCAAAAGTAATTACAGTACTCAATTTATTATAACATAATTACATTATTACTCATACTTCCAAAAGTAAAAAAAAAAAAATAATATAGAAATAACATTGCATTAACTCACCTGTCACTCAAGTTACATCATATCTTGGTAATCCCAAACACAAATAATCTGAAACTGGATAGTACATCTGTCCCGGCTTAACCTTTGTACTGAAGCAGTTGAAAGGGTTGATGAAAGAAAGAAAAAATGTCAAACATGTAACTGATGATGATGGGCAAATAAATCCTTGGAGTACACTTAATGCTAAAGGAAAAGTCTTGCTAAGATAAAATTAAACATTTCAATTCACCTTTTTTAGGAGTGCTTGGTTCAGATGCCGGTGAGGAGTATTGCTGTACTGGATGAGATAGCGTAACAGGGGCTGTCAACAGACGATATTCTGTGTTCACATCCCAAAGAGCGTGGCGTGTTGAATCCACAAGGTAGCGACGTACTTCATCCAAGTCAACACGACCACTCTCCCACACTTTAAATTGAAGCATTGCCATTGGTCCTGCAAAAAAGTGGCAGGGTATCTAAAGAGTATGTAAAAGTAAATTTAAGAATTGTGTTTTTTGTTCTCAAAACAAAAACAGTATACAGTGAATACCTTTATATATATACTTAAATACAGTACAGTATATAAAAGTTTTATAGTGTGAAAAATCTAGACTTCGGAAGATGCTTAGAATGTTTCTCAGACAGCTCACTAAACAGTATTGAAAACTGCAGCTTGCTGCTGACTATCTGGCTCTCAAAAACTCCCAGGTTTTCATATGTAGCATCATTCTTACTAGTTACTCATGACGCAGCTTCAGTTACCTTAATGTTACAATGTACTCCTAATGAATTACAGCACAGTACCTAGAATTACAGAAAATAATTTCTATTAGATATCTCAAGTAACTTACCAGGGCTTTTAGTTGGACTTGGCTGATATTCCTGCGTGTGAGTGAGTGCTTCAAAATCCTGTTTGGTAAAAATTTCTTGATATGCATCTTTAGATGGTCGAGGACAACTGAAAGACAGATGAAATACACAGCCTTTTTTAAATGACATCACTACTAACAACTGAATCACCAACTACAATCACCACACAAACAAGTATTACCAAACTGCCTCCACTTCCAGTTGTTTGCTCTGATCTATTTATTGTAACATACACATACTGTACTGTACTTTAAAGCAAACTTTAACACAAACTTAAACCTCTTTATGACAAACAGGGTAAAACCCGGTACTCGGGTGTGGTGGTGGTGGGACACACCAGGTGTGGTGGTGGTGTACACACCGGGTGTGGTGGTGGTGGGACACACCGGGTGTGGTGGTGGTGGGACACACCGGGTGTGGTGGTGGTGGGACACACCGGGTGTGGTGGTGGTGGGACACACCGGGTGTGGTGGTGGTGGGACACACCGGGTGTGGTGGTGGTGAGTATATATAAAATGCATTCTTACCCAATATATTGTACGGTACATCCACTTCCGTCCACTACAGAAAAGGCAATACATGCTATGCCCTTGGCAGCAGATTTTCTAGGACGCACAAATAAGAAGATGTTTGGCTCACTACTAAGATCCTGATCTGTAGCCGAGAAGTCCTATAGAAGGAGAATCATTACAAGCAAGAAAACATTATATATACTCATTAAAAAGCACATAAAAATAAATGGCATGATTTAACAATAAAATAAGCACATAAAAACACAGCACACTAATGAAAATTTTTAAATCTATATACAGTATAATGGAACTCTACTCGACTATAACCAAGTTCAGTAGAAGTTCAGTGCTACAGAAAGATTCTGCTCCAGTCTGATCAAAATGACTTGATATAACAGATCATAATGAAAGTTCTAACTGAGCACTGAATTCACTGGCTCTGTTTGGTGATAAACATCAGTTGCTTTGCTTTCCTATTTTTATTTGTTTATTATTTCTCATAAAGCAGAAGTTGCTTTGTAATGCCTTGGATTTTCTGAGCAATTCACTGTGTGATCTTCGATTTCCAGATGATGCTCTCGTCTCTATCAAGGAGCCAGATTCTGGTTCCAGGAAAATTGAGGAGGTGCCAAGATTGGTCTTATGAACAGGTAGGGGTGGCACTGGTATTAACCTGTGCTGTAAACTTCATGAGCTATTAAGGAAGCCAGAACACAATAGTTTTATTTATATATACAAGTTCTTACATTCTCGTAAAGCCACTAGCACGCATAAAGTTTTGGGCAGGTCCTTAATTAAAAAATTTCCCCGGAATACGACCCACCAAATCGTTTAACAACCAACCATTCACTGCTGGATGAACAGAGGCTAAATTTAAAGATTGGCAGGTCAATTCTCCCCGGCCAGGATATGAACCCAGGCCAAAGGAATCGCTAAGCGCTGCGCGAGTGTTTTACCACTGCGTCACAGGGACTGCTGAAATTTAGTAAATTATATAAATACGTAGATATAAATTTTTAAAAGGGGTTGATTCAAATTTCATAACAAACATCAACAAATGTAAATGTAAATCTAAATTCAGTAGAGATATTCCAATAGGAATACTGTTGTTGGAGTTTAGATGCATTCATTAGAAAGAAATCCAGTTTGTGGAAGTTACATTGTAATGTACTTGCCTAGCCTAGCTTGTATGGTCGAGCTAGGCTCCTGGCCCCACCTTCTGAATGTTCTTAGATTAATGTAATAATTCATTTCTCATGCTCTTGTTATATTTACATTTAAAACTTTGAACTGAATTAGCTTCAACAACCTCTACATCTAACCAATTCCACTTATTGACAGCTTTAACATTGAAAAAGTTCTCTCTGATGTCCGTAACTCATCTGTGTTTCGAGTTTCCATCTATGACCCCTCGTTCTGATGTACCTAGCTTTGAACAATGTTGCTTTGTTTACCTTACCAATTTCCCCTTAGAATCTTACAGGTTGTTGTATCTATAATCAAGCAGCCAATCAGTATCAATCAACATAATTTGAACACTTGCCTGAAAATGATATTCAGGGCAATTATCAGCAAACTTGGGGTGTATGAAGCCACAGGACAGCATGTTCTGTCGTAGATAATAACCCACAGCTTGTAAATATGGTAGTGCATGTGCATTCACAGTGAACCTGCCAAAGAAAACTTCATATTATACCAATGTATACTTATATTGTAACCTATTTGTATATATGTCTACACACACACACACACACATTGTTTAATTACCTAAGTGTAGTTACAGGATGAGAGCTATGCTTGTCATGTCCTGTCTTCCCAGTACTTTGTCCTATAACACTTTGAAACTATCGATGGTTTTAGTCTCCACCACCACCTTGCCTAACTTATTCCAACTGTCTACCACTCTGTTTGCAAAAGTGAATGTGTGAGTGTGTGTTTGTGTGTCTATTAACAAAAATGATCTATGTTGCTATCTCAAGCTTTGCTTGCATATGGCCCTTCCCAGGATGCCATATCTATACACATCTCTCTAGTCTATTTAATTTCTCTCATGACGTCAGAAAGACTACTATTTCATGAATTCCTGTTTGTCAATATTTCATGAATTCCAACTTGTCAATATTACAAGCTTTTTTCCTTGGCTACATTTACAACAAGACATACAGAGAGCATTAAAGTAATACATGGACAAATGTGGGGAGTGATAAAATGTATCAGACTATGTGTGGTGTTGCAGTGTTAGTGAACCCTAATAATCTCTCTCATTAATAAGAGAATGAATCCACTTTAATGCTTCCAAACTACCATGAACAACAAAATTAAAAAAAAAACAAGATATTGTTCATTCCAATAATTTGATTTTTAATAATGTACAATAATTAGGCAGGCATTTACCAAATTGCAAATTTATAAACCATTCCAAATGTCTCTTTAGGCGGCCTTGAATAGCACCATTAATCTCACTGGTCATGAACTGCACAAGAGTCACAAAAGGCTCACCTGATAACAGTTTTTGGTGACTGATAAGGTGGCTGAATAAAGTGAACATCCTCTGGTGTCAGCTTATGTTGTGGGTTGCTCCAGAGCATCAAACAAATTGCCTCAACTACTGCTTCATCCAAGCGGTTCTGTAACATCCGAACTAGTTCCTCCTTGATTGCTGGGCCTGAGTACAAATGGCACTTCATTAAATGATTTTAAACTTTTTAAAGCTATTAAATTATGGGACAAGACCATCTGAAGAAGTGTCTTGTCTTGGTGGGGGGCTCAAAGTCAAACACAGTCTGCCATGTTAGCAGAACCTGGGTGGATTTGTAGCCCTAGTTAGAACAATTGATGGGGCCATGCTGAAACTTATTTTTGGTTATATGCTATACAGTATTCTTCAATTATATCAGACATACTTATTTTGTAATTAGTTTGAAAACTCATTTATGGTAAGGTAAATATTTTATAAGTAGTCATCAAAGCATTACTATTCACATACTAGCTTCAAAATTTTGTATTTTCCAGTTTCATTTTCCTGTCAGAAACAGGAAACCTATGTATATACGTACATTAGGCTTATATTGAGATCTTCCTAAAGTGGAAGTACTGATCCTCCCTAGGATGCAACCCCCCACAACTGTTTACTAACCCCTCGAATACTTATTTACTGCTAGATGAACAGCAGCATTAGGTGAAAGGATATGTGCCCAACCATTTCTGTCCCACCTGGGATTCGAACCCAGGATTCCTGGTTATCAGTTGAGAACCAAGCACCTGTAAACTGTACTACTTAGATCCACTGTCATTCCAAGCTTATCTTTAAATCTCAAATTTTTCCCTATTGTACAGCAAATAATTGGATTTGATGTAATTAGGACCAAGACAAGAGGAAGCTAAGAAGATTGGTAATAAAAGTGACAGAAAAGTAAGCCTTGCACATGACCAACATACAAAATGGATGAAAGGAATCTAGGATTATTTTCAAAATACTGTAACATTAAATGTAGAAATGAAATGCTAATACTGTACTGTATATTAATGCCACTCCTGTCCTCATAGTGGCCACTAGGATTAATGGCCCTTGGGAAAATCATGTAAATTAATATTTACATCCAGACAAATTCACGTAACTGAAGATGATGAAAACAAAACTGCTACCAACTAAGCAAAGAAAAGCTTGGCACCTGATCCTTTAAATTAATAAAATGAATGGTAAAATTAAAAATACCTGGTTCAGCAATTCCATGCACAGTAAGAATTATATAGTGATTTCGCTTGCGTTGTGCTGGTGCCGATGGTACTCCTTCCATTATAACATCCTTCTCTCCAAAGGAACTTACACGTGGCCGTAGCTCCTGAAAGCATATCACATTGCCTATATTTTGTACAGTACTGTAATGTACTATATACTGTATCTGTATTTGTGATAAATTAGTACCTTCAGGAAATTCACTCTGAAGATGCCAACAACAGAGAAACTTTAAACAGTTCTAAGTACAGACACTGACTTGCATTTTAACTTTTTTAATTGGATATGAAATTTATTTTCTATCCTAATTCACTCCTCCACTTTGAGAGACAAAAGGCCTAGTTTATATAGCTGGTCATAGTGATTTAACCCATAAGCTGCACAAGGTATACATATATGCCCTGATTAGGAGCTCAGTTTCTTGCTCAAACGCTTTTAAATTTTGGTGAATAATCTACTAGGCAAATGCTTGTACTTTGTCTAAATGATACCAATGTAACTTGAAAAACAAGAAAATAAAAAATAATTATAAAACTGAATACAGTATTGAAAACGTCAGATTTTGAAATCAGCTGCAAAAATATAAAATATCACCAATTGTTTATTTGATGTTATTATGCTCTTAGAATAGCATATGATCTTAATTTTTATAGATATAGTTTAGTTTACTGAAAAAAAAATTGTCAATATGACATTTGAAATATGCATCAAATTTAGACAAAATATTGTATAACTCCAAGTGTTTAGGGTTTATGAAAAATCCATTCTCAAGGGATTGTAGAACAGACAGTTTAACACACAATATGTCAAAATGGTGAGAATCGGTCAGAAACTGGAATTTCAGAAGCCACTCAAAGTTGAAACTCTAGCTTTAGAGATAATTGAAGTTGACGTTATCGACACTGAATAAAGGTAGCTGTAATTCATTAATTTACCTCTATGTTTTAATAAACATTGTTTGGCATTCGTACTCGAATATGTGAAAGTTGTAGGTCAATACACGTTGAAATGAAGTCAAGAACAAATAACCTCCCACTAAAACAAAATAAAAGGATAATTATAATAATAATAATGATTTAGGGGATATATTTAGGGTATACTTTTTCTAAGTGAAAAAAGCCCTAATCTTGTCCCTAATCAAAACGACCTAAAGAGACAAAGAAAATTAAGCTTGAAATCTGTGAAAAAATCATCCAAAAACAAAGTCAAGTCCCAAGTTCTGCGAGTTGTGACTGATTTATTTGTTTGTTGACCAATTTCATTTTATCTTCACATAGTTAAGGATGGGTATGCACTCTCCAGGATGTAGAGGTTACAACAAAATCCAATAAAAACAAAGAAGGAAAAATAATTAAAAAAAAAAATGGACACTGGTGAAAGTAACAGGTATTAACATTGGGCTATGTATTTATATGATATATAACAATATAGAGCATAATAACATAATCACACATCGTGTACTGCCTCTATATTACAAAATGTTATTTAATTTGGAAATCATGAAAGTACCTATAGCATTTCAAATTTTGTCATTCAGAGGTGCATTATACTACAGGTAGACTACTCTGTCCATTATATTAATTCCTTGCAAAAGTAAAGCATACAATATTTGACCTAAAGCTACAAGATAACTGCTCTTACATAATGTTGAGATGTGCAAACAGTCTTGAGATTTGAAGGATCATCCTCTCTAGTTCCTCGTTTTCCCAGTGACACTGCCGAGGAGCTGCGGGATAATCCAGTCTCATCCCGACGTCCCTCAACTTGCGGTGATATTGTTGTGGACTGGTGCTCCTTCAACCTCAAATATATAATAAGTATTATTTGATGTTCACTACAAATACACTACCATCTTACTATTACACATAATATCACTTGATGTTTACTATAATGCTCAGTATAACTTCATGCTCATTACTACATACAGTGTAACTATGTTCACGAGAACATGAATAAATTCATGCTCACTAGAACACTACTACACAGTATAACTTTATGCTCACTACAACACCACAAAATAACTTCATGCTCACTACAACACTACTATATACAGTAGAACTTCAGATCTTTAGAGCACTGAATAATTCTTTCCTTACAGCAGATAATAAACATAAGAAGCAAATACCTGAGATAGAATACATTTGAGCCATTGCCAGAACTATCTTCATAGACAAACATATTCTTGCGGTTATTGACAGAGAATGGGTTCAGTATTGTGCGAAGTGCTTGAATTCCCTTGCTGCCCACCTTTCCTGCACACAACTTCACCTTGGGATGAAGTTCAAACTTGGTTTCCCACACTACTCTGCAGGCAAAGGCTCCAGCTTTGAACTTGAAAGCTGCTTCTAAATAGCCTCTATATTCCGGGTCACTATCTAGAGAAAAACACATACAGTGCATGATAATCTCTACCTTATTAGGCATAGGTTCATCAAAGTCTCATTAAATTTTCAAATACAATGCAAATACAGTGTTATGTGCAATATAACCAAATGAAAACTACAGTTAAACTACTTCATAGAACCAACACTCACTCTCTCTCTCTGCTTATAAAATCATGTACACAATTTTTCAATTTTTTTCAAAATGCAATTTCTTAAAACAGACTACCTAAAATTGACTAAGGAAAAGCAAGTACAAAATTGGGACTAGAAAAATTACTTAAATTGGCAAGCTTTGTTGTTATAACATCACTCATAATGGGACTCAATTGGAAGGTTGCAAGACCCATTGCTTTTCCAGGATAGTCACCATCCAAGAACCCTTCCCATCTAACTCCTCCCCCAATCCTCCCATTACATTACTAAACAATGTAAATTTCAAGTTACTTTACACTGTAAAAAGAATGAAGAAAGGCCTTTTTATCTCCGAATGCTGGCAAGCTAAAATCTATTTCTTGCTACAGCTGATTTGAAGCTCCAGTTGAGTAGAGTACTTTCTTCTTTGAAAACAATCCACCAGCTGGCGTACAACCAAAACAAAATCTAGATGCATACGATGAATCACAATACTGTGGGTGAAGATATGATGACCAAACCCCACATCACAAGATGAAGAAACAACAATGTTTCGCTCCATCCTGGACTACCATAAAGTCATGTGAAAGAAGAGAGGAAGGTACAGGCAATAAATAAGGTGAGAGCACAGTGCGAGGTGAATAGTAGTCTTCTTGCCTTCCTTATATTCTTACCTTCATCCCATTCTAATCTTTCATCCTATTCTTATCTTTCATCATACTCTTACCTTTCTCTTACCTGCTTCTTACCTCTCACCTCACTTTATTTATTTGCCCGTACCTTCCTCTCTGCTTTCACACAACTTTACAATGGTCCAGGACAGACTGAAATGTCGTTGCTTCACCATCTTCTGATGTGTGGTTTGATCATCAAACTTTAAATTGGTGTGCAGGTGCTAATGGAGCAAAGAAACCCTTGCCTAAAATGTTCCTCCTTACTCAGTTTAGATTATTTCTCTTTTACTTTAATTTTTATCTTTAATAGTTAAACCAAATTTTTTTACCTTGCCAAGCAATACTCACCATCAACACTTCTGCCCTTTGTATCTTCATGACGCCAAATGTCATCAGAAGTCTCAGGTTCCAATAGATGATTGCACATACGTGTATTGTGCAGGTCTTGAAGAAGCAGTGTTTGGTTTACGAGTTTTACAAGCGACCGCACACAGCGTACTACCTCTGTCTGAATTTCACGCCACCGAGCCATTTCAGATTCAGTTCTGTGTGAAGACGAAAATTGCAAATACTTTTCAGAATAAGTTACTTTATAAGATAAATATATATTGGGTGAGATTATGGAATTTCTAAAAGGTACTAGTAATGAAAATAGTGATCATGATGTTTTAAATCAAATTCGTTCCAAGTGCATGTGTAGCTGTTGGACTTTATTTCAACATTTAGTACTGTCCAGCACTTAAGTTAGTACTGTCCAGCACTTAAGTTATAATGACAATTTTATTTTGATAAAACTTTCTTCATCTCAAGTAGCTACACACTGCAACAGCAAGATGAAATATATTAAAATTATGAAATCACATTTTACGGATGAAAAAGGATAAATGGAGATAAATATACATTATATAGAAGTCTACAATCAGCTTTGTAATTTCCCACACACACACACAGTGATAGTGAACGTATAATGTGAATAAATAAAATTTTACTTGGATAAATACTAATTTTATAGCAAAAGATAACCTAATACAAAAAAATATAGAATTGCCCAAATCCTTAAATACTATAATTACATAAATAATGCAGGTAAGTAAAATAGTTACCTTCGGTACATATTATTGGTAATGAATGCAGAAAGCAATTACACAATACGAGTTCAAATTTCTGTTAAACATAAAACATAAGAATCAAGGAAACTGCAGAGGTCCTATTGGCCCATATGAAGCAGCTATTTATATCCACTCAATCTGTTTTAAAATGTATTTATTATACAAAGATCTTCCATAACCATGTAAATTTGTGGGGTTTTTTTACAAGAAAATACAAATTGGGCTGGTTGAGGTTAACAAAAATATCATTTACAAATTTTTGGGTAAATTTCTTGTAAGAAATTCAGCAAATTTCAATGTTAGTATGATTTAAATGGGGGTCTTCCCCGTATGATTTGATTTGCCAAGCAGTGACAATGGAGAAAAAAAACCAGCTCAGAGTTTTTGGTAATTTGACGATTCAAAATATTTTTCGAAGGCAGGTCAAGCGCGTTGCAATTTCCTTTGATTTTGGAGCTATTCATCTTGTGGCAGCGAGTTGAACTCTGATTGCCAAGAATGGGGGCAAGATTGTGGGAAAAGGTGTCGCTCCTCAGTGTTAAGATATTGTCACCAAATGCTTGGGGAACTCAAGTGTTGTGTGTGCTGGTGACATCAGCTTAGAGGAACTACCTGGGAAATCATTGCAACTTAGTCTACTGGAAGTATCTTCCTTGGCATCAGAAGCATGGGTGTAGAAATTAAGTTGCACTTGACAAGGTCTTAAGGTTCTACAAGGTCTTAACTCCTGACTTAAGGTCTGCCATCTACCCCTCAACTGATGTATTCAATCAATTTCAATATATACCACCAATTCACAAAGCTGAATGCTACAACTCTGTATGATTAGAAATAATAAGGAAAACCAAAAAGAATATAGTAGCCTCTCCTGGGATACCTAAAACTTTAAAGTTGCATATCCTACCATCTTACTGTTATTACAACAAAATATTAAGCAATTATTTAAACTATGGTTCAAGGACCCAAAAATTCAAGTCACAGGATACCAGGCTGTGACTCTAATCTTAGGCTGTGAACAGCTGCATCAAACAGCCTGGTTGACCAGACCACCAACCAGGAAGCCTGGTCAAAGACCAGGCTTCAGGGATGTTGAAATTATGTTGTTCTTATGTTGACCCTCAGAATCAAACAGAATAATGAAGACACAACAATGGATTGTACAATAAAGTTTATTGTATCAAAACTCACCTGCAGTGGAAGAAAGTATCAACACGATCGATAGACACTCTTAAGATTAGCCAAAACTCTGGTAAGAATGGCCTCACAGATTCAAAATCTTGCAACCAATCACAACAATCATTATCCGAATCACTAATGTCCCCTTCACAGCCATCTTCAGTCGTCTGGCCTGACTCCAACAAACTTGACACATCAGAAAATGGCCCGCCCGGGACAGATCCAGTGCCAGAGTTGTGACGACTTTTAAGAATATCTCCTCCAGTTCCTATAAATTTATATTGATGAGAACAACATATTATTTTAAAACTATTAATTTTTGGTAAAAAGAGTTTGACAAAAAATCAGTATCCTTTAACATTAGAGAAGTCAATCTAAATATTTTCAAGATAAACATACCCAAAGTGCACCCAACAAAAATTCAAAATGCTTACTTGAATTATGTCACTTGGTGCATTTATACATTTTTTATGTATCTAGCATACGTATCTGCTTTATCCATAAAACTGAAGTGGATAATTTATACAGCAGCAGATCCTCGTAATGAATATTATGAATGAACATGTCTCAATGCATTAAAATATACATGTGCCACCAGGAGCAACTGAATATGCCATGCTCAGAAAACTGATCTACAATCTAAATGTCTATAAACTCTCCCAGTTGGCCTACAAGACCAGACTAAGTGGTCTTTGCTTGGTCAATGTTCAATCTCAATGTTCCACAAACCACCTTTGCTTAATGTGTGACTCACAGCCTAAAATAATCTTCACATCTTTTAGCTCCATCTCACCGAACACATGGCTTCTCATTTAACTCTTTCTTACAATATAATTTTAGTATTCTACTTGCAATTTCTTAATACTTAACACAGTAAAAATTTAATTCTTACGATCTGGAAAAATACATACTACATAAATTCTAAATCCTCAATACTAACCTGAATTATGACGACTTTTTAACAGGTCAGCGTTTGTTCCCGAGTTGTTACGGCTCTTCATAAGCTCTGAAGAATTGTGACGGCTTTTTATAAATTCTGCCCACAAACCACAGCTATGAAAGGGAACATTCATGTATTAAAAAAAGAGGCAGGAAAATGGGATAGAGCAAAAACAGAATGGAGGTAAGAGTGCAACTTGAATTTCTATTCTACTCAAGAACAATCACAATTATTGTGATTGTGCAACATAACAATTCATGACTTGAGTGAAAAGACTAAGATACTGCACTGTGCCAACATGGTTTCAGTTATATACAAATAGTAGACATGTTGTTAATGTGAGCAAAAGGGAATATATACTTACAACAAATCTGGATGCTGGTTGTCATATTCTGTAGTAGTATATACCTTTGTTACACTGTTTGCTAAATAATACATAAACAATGTATTGTATATACACAAAATTAAAATGCAGGTCCATATTCATGAATCTTTTACAGCAATGTCAATCAGCAACTTACCTCCCTCCTGAGTTCATAGCACAGCTGGGTGCAGATTTTAATTGTTCAACAGATGCTTCAGTGCTGCATGGGGTAAAGTTATCAGTGCTAGCCGATTTCCTGATCACTTCTGCAGACACTGAAGGACGAGGAAGACTTTCGGAGCCACATCTGAAGTTGTGAGCTACATGTAAATATCAACTCTATAAAAAAAAATGTAGTTTTGAACTCATAAAAAGATTAGTTTTTAGCAAACTATTCTGCCATTATCAGAGCCATGTGATTTACTTTCCTGTCATAGGACTGGATACTCAGTACAACTTTAAGCAGAGTTGCCACAAGAACTACTATTTCCCAGCATGACCATTAAACTCTCAAATTACAAAGAGCAAGCCTCAGATTAAACATTTCACAGTGACTGTTGAACAAGTTGCAAGCTTGAAAATCGGAATCACGAATGAGACTTCCCATGTCTCTACACACGTTAATAGTTGTGACAGATACCAATACCAACTGAACTCAGCTAAGGGGGTAAATTTTAATATTACAGTATGTATATGTATGAGAACAAGTGACAATGTATACAAAATTTAGTCAAATATCTATTTTCTCCTAATTATCTCTCTACACTTCAAATCCCAAGAACACACACATGGTCAATTAAACATGCAAAACCATCCATGATTTCACATACCTTATCAGCTCATTAAGAGGGAGTGACAAACGATGACCAGTATCCTTCATTGGCTTTTGCATTTCAAGAAGAGTTGAAGCCCCCTCTACAAGAGTTAGCACCCGAGATGCAGAATCAGTATCTACATCTTCCAATTTACCATCTTTTGGTATAAAAGTTTCTGTCCGATATGACTCAACAGATTCAGTCTCTCCACAAAATCTTAGTGTTTGCGAGATATTATCACAACCCTGATTTGTTTTCTCCTTCCTCTCTGGATTAGAGGATAAAATCTCTGATAAAGCAGATATATCTGCAATTTGATTCTGACATTTATCTTTGGATTCAATAGGTTTGTCTTCAGTTGTGATACAACTTGAATCTGAAGAAGTATTTTTCACAAAGAACTGTGTATCCTTATTACCATAATCATCTATGCTCTTGGGTGAAAGGAGATCATGCATCTTTTTAGAAATTTCTCCCAACAATTCTAAATTTTCAACATCAGCACGTTTTTCAACAGGTGCAACACAAGTTGGAGGGTCGTCAAAACATCCCACAAACATCTGAGGCTCCTCAACATGTTTCACAGACATTACAGGCTCCTCAGCATGTCCCACAGAAGCTGGAGGCTCCTCAGCATGTCCCACAGAAGCTGGAAGTTCCTCAACACGCCCCACAGAAGCTCGAGGCTCCTCAAAACACACTGCAAAAGTTGGGGCTTCCTCAGCATGGCCCACAGAAGTTGAAGCTTCCTCAGCATGGCCCACAGAAGTTGGGGCTTCCTCAGCATGGCCCACAGGAGTTGGGCCTTCCTCAGCATGGCCCACAGGAGTTGGGGCTTCCTCAGCATGGCCCACAGGAGTTGGGGCTTCCTCAGCATGGCCCACAGGAGTTGGGGCTTCCTCAGCATGGCCCACAGGAGTTGGGGCTTCCTCAGCATGGCCCACAGTAGTTGGGGCTTCCTCAGCATGGCCCACAGTAGTTGGGGCTTCCTCAGCATGGCTCATAGAAGTTGGGGTTTCCTCAGCAAGGCCCACAGAAGTTGGGGCTTCCTCAGCATGGCCCACAGAAGTTGGAGCTTCCTCAGTATGGCCCACAGAAGTTGGGGCTTCCTCAGCATGGCCTACAGTAGTTGGGGCTTCCTCAGCATGGCTCATAGAAGTTGGAGGCTCTTCAACACATTCCACAGAAGTTGGAAGCTCCTCATCACGTCCCACAGAAGTTGGAAGCTCCTCATCACATCCCACAGAAGTTGGAGGCTCCTCATCACGTCCCACAGAAGTTGGAGGCTCCTCATCACGTCCCACAGAAGTTGGAGGCTCCTCATCACGTCCCACAGAAGTTGTAGCTTCCTTAACACTTCCTACAGAAATTGGAGCTTCCTTAACACCTTCTACAGAAGTTAGAGCTTCTTCAACATCACCTGCAGAAGTTGGAGCCTCTTCAATACATTCTACAGAAGGTAGAGCTTCTTCAACATGTCCTATAGAAGTTGGAGGGCTGTTTGAAAAACCCCGATATTCTTTCCCATTGTCACTGATACCTTCGTCCTCTTTATCTTCATCATCTTCCTCTTCCTCAGCATCACACCCTTCATACTTTGCTATAGCCAAAGTAGCAGAGGGTGTGAGGCTTTTCTTTGGAGACTCAGATGACCGTAATTTTCCTTCATGTGACTGATGTGATGATTCTCGTGAGAAACTACTTCTAACTTGCTTGATGTCTGAAAAAATATAATTATTTCTTTAACACTTACTCTACAGATATATTAGATCATGTCACCTAGCTATGAAACTTTCTGCCCAACCGCCAAAAATATAATCCAGCATCGAGTCTAATAAAAAGTCACCTCCTGGGTATAACCTCGAAAGCTTTCCTTACAATATATCATTGGCTTCGAAATGCCAGGTCCCAGAGTGTATCTTAACCTACCAGGAATAGAGATCTTTTCAAACCCTCTTGCCCCTTCACCATGTAACTGGAACAAGGAATAATTAAAGCTTCTTAATTTTTTAAATACATTAAATAATATGGAATAAAACTTCTATGAAAGTGTTTGAAATACTATATGATAAAATTTTTGTCTAATGAAGTAAAATACACACATTTTACTAAAGTACTGTGCTCTGAGGACTCGCTTTACCATGCAAAAACATATAATATATAGTATACAAGAGTGACACTTTACCCCATGCCTCTAAAATGAATCACATTTAGTAAACAAAAGTCACAGCCATTATGGAATTTTAAAGTGTGGGGGCATAAAATTTAGTTTTTTCTTTTATTAAATACTGTATGTCCAAAACTAACCCTGCAGCTTACAACTAGGTACAGCTTATATTTGTGCACAGACAGAACTTACAGACAGACAGACAGACAGACAGCAAGTTCACTAGGCTATAAGCCAGTTGCTGAACAATGCTAGTGGAGACGTTCTGCATTGTTGTCAATATTTGCTATTACCATTAACAGGAAATTCTTTCACTAGTTTCCTAATCAGAAACCAGTTGAGTACAGAAGACCCTAATTGGAACAGTCTCCACTAGCACAGCTTTCTGACTTGCAAAGATATAACAGGCCCTCATCAAAGTCAAGGTAGCTTCGTCTAGGAAGAAACCCCCTATTCGTGTCCAGGTAGCCCCCTCTAAGGGAATCCACCCATCTAAGTCAAGATAGATTCACATAGGGAAATCCACCCATGTCTAGATAGCACCCTCTAGGAAAATCCACCCATGTCTAGATAGCACCCTCTAGGAAAATCCACCCATGTCTAGATAGCACCCTCTAGGAAAAACCACTCAAGTCAAAGTAGCTGTCTTGTGATATCAATTCACCTTTACACATTATTTACTGTACTTCCATTGTAGAACATTTGTAAATTATTGTACTGATCAGAATGCATTTTATACTTATTACCTATTTATTGGTTAATGCAAACACCTTATTTAACATCAATAAATATATTACGACAACTTCATAGTGTTTACATTTATCCCATGATATTTCCTGCAGTGACTACCAATGACTGATATGATGATAAAAGATATTCAGGTAGGACTTGTATCCTAGTACAGTACTAAACATCCACTCAAGTTTTCAATGATTTATGCAAGTGATTTATGCCTTTGTGATATAATCTATGAGGTATAGAAAATCTAGATAAAATTACATCTGATCTAATAATCCAATATAAGGACATACCATTGTCAGAGTCTGATGTATTGATAGAACCTCGTCTTTCAGAATCTCTTCTCTCTTTACGTTCACGGCGACGAACCCACTTCTCCTTTTCTGATCCTTCTGCTCGCTGATTACTATTTTCCACATCACCTGAACATTCGGGAAAATGTCCTGCAACATGGATTGATTGATAAATAATTTATCTAGAACTGTATCAGCAAGAACACTGGAGTCTTATATACGCAGATATTTAACCAACCATTGGGTTACTTTCACAATTCCAGCTCAACTCCCTCACAAGATGAGTCAGTCTGAAGGGAACATGTTCTGTGGTCATACAGGACCATAGGGCATTTCACTAGAGAATAGCACTTATCATTTGGAAACTACAAGCTACAAACACTTGAACTTGTGTGTGTGTAGCTTGTAAGAAAGAGGAAGTGATACAAGACGTGTATAAAGAATAGGTGAAAACCCAACATTGAATGTAACAAAGATGGCAATTTCTGGAATTTTAATTAGCATGTCGAAAAACTACCTCTCCTGAGATTTTAAAGGAAATTAGAAAGAAAGGTAAAAGAAAAAAGAATTAAATGAAAAAATAAACTATTTAATAAGCAAAACCTTAATATTTTAAATATGATTCCTTTTCAAGCATTATACATTATTGTATATTGGAAACAAGCACCAGAAACACAGCAACATTATGACAAAAATGACTTACGCTCAGTATCAAATGAGACCCTAGTAGCCTGAAGTCTGGCAGGAGGGCTTGTGAGGGCATCTGGAGAAGAGAGACTGACCTTATTGGCCAAGCATCCAGAGTCCATCTGCCGTAACTGGGCGGTATCATCAGCATGGGGCTGGGGCCTGAGGAGAACCATTTAGTCCCGTTTCTTCTCATTTTTTTAGCTTTCTTTGGTTAAGAAAATCTTTATACGTATAGATAAATTTAACTAATTTATGTTTGTGAACCTTTTTCAAATATTATGCTCTTTACTTTTTGAACATTTTGTCTGATGTATACTGGGCCAATTTTGGTATGTATGGCAGACTATAAAACTAATCTTGTGGGTGAATGTAAACAAAGAAAAGAAGATACAAGTCAGCTGTAGCTCCAGGTCAAGAGTTACAAAATGGAAAATGTCTCTGATACATCCAAAATAGCCACCTTCATAGAGAAAATACCAGCTCATCTCTATTTAAATGCAAAACTGTTAAATATTGTCCTTACCTGACAATGAGGAACTGATTTTTTAATCCAAGAGGAGGTACCAATGTTGAGAAATGTCTCCTCCTCATTTGAGTCTTATCTTGAACTACATAATATAGTGAACCCTCTTGCTTCAGATGGTGACCACTAACACTAAGTCGTCCAAATTCCTGTGAAGAAGTAGGTATACAATACATGAACAAACTTATTTTTTATTTCTTCCCTATAGAGCTGTATATATATTATACAGTGATGCTAATGCATTTAAATTTCCATCATATGTGAATTGAAAACCATTCTAAAAATTAAGTATTATAATAAGAGTATCAAGTGTAATGAAATTCCCCTTTCTGGGTGTAGCTACAATGGCTTCCCAGAGCTTAAGCATAGTTGCTCTAGAGCAAGAGCAGTTGAATGCCAAGTCATTGTTAAATGAAACTTTCTCAATCTTTCCCCCTCTTTCTGTGCATAGCTTCCTTGGATCTGTCAGGAAGAATATGATCATTGAAGGAAATATAAAATGTGTTATAGATGTGGCACTGAAATCTGTTCCTGGTTAGCGGTACAAGTGGCCAGATAGACAGTGGGCAGTGATGCAGAGTGCTTGTTATGCAGCATTTGATTGCAAGAGAGAACTCTTACATGGTTCTGAATTTACACAAAATGTTTCTTCTGTAAGTCTTTTCTGGACTGATTTACTGATGTGACTCCCACAGCATCTCATATGACCCTGCAGACACAGACATTTCCTGTAGCACACCTTCCAAGAATGCCATCTATCAGACTATCATCCTGCCCAGAGGACACAATGGATTTTACTTTAGTAAAACACCAAATGAAAAATATAAAGCATTCTTACTGGAGAAACGTTTACAAAAAGTTGATGAGTATTTGCACAAAATCGAGTGCAGCATGTAATGAAGCACCATGGAATAAAGTTCTGTAAACCCTGGAAAAGCAGCTAGGAGCTCTTAGGCACATAATCACCCCCCCTCCCCCCTCCTTCCCAAGGTGCACAGCCAGAAGACACGACACACAGCCCAGTTATAGGGTAAACCATCTAGCAGCAGGGCAACAGTCTGCACCAGGGCAGCCTTTGACAGGGCACACAATTTGGGTACTTGCCTCAAAGAATGCTTATTGGGCTTGTATTACACTTCTAGTAGATAAAGGAAAGTATATATAATGAAAGTAAAAGCTGTGTAGCCTTAGATCAAACAGCAGCACACTTCTTACCCAGTAATACCCACATTAAGAGGGGCCAGATAGAAGAATAATTTTACCCAAAAAAATCCTGAGGAACCTAGTAACTTGAGGGGCAAAAATAATTTTAATATTACAGAACAGTTACAACACATAACAGGTATAAAAATGAATTCATCAGAATACCTCTGATAAATTATTTCATAAACCACTCTGCAACATAGAAAGTAAACATACTTGCATAAATTTGTCTCTACTTTGTTCCATGCCACAAACAAAGTTGAGGGGGATGGATTCTGAAATACAGTTCCGGGCTTGCCGTGAACTCTCCACATGAGTGGCTACCATATTCAGTGTCTGTTCTGCTAGAGGATAAACTTGTAGCATTGCTGATGCTATTTCATCACGTAAAAGCCACTTTATCTGAAATATAAGACAATGAATAAAATAGATACAATATTACAGCCTATTAATTATTTTGTCAAATTTACACATATTGTATACAAGCATTTATATACAAAATATATTAGCATAAGGTAAAAACAATCTCCTTGAGTGAGATCTTAGATGGCATGAAATCTCCATCCATGAAACACACACACATGTACTATGCACAATGAGCTTAAAGAAAAGGTGAAGGTAGTAATAAAGGAAAGTAAAAATACAAAAAAATGCAACTAGAGAAGCAGCAGAAATATTACAAAAAGTGTAAAAAGTGACAATAATGGAGTCAATAGCAAGAGTTATAAGCCAAAATTCCTAGATAATTACCTGTCACAGATACACCTACTAACCTCATCAACAGTGGATACAATAGCTTGATGCTGGTAATTTGGAAGATGGCCAAGTTGGTCTTCATCTTCCATGTATCTTTGAAAGAAATATCAAGACATAATAAAACCTCATAAGTAAAAAATGGTAATACTGGATGAATTACCATGTTGAATATCTGTATTACGTGTGCAGCACACCTATGGGAACAATCAGTGGGAGATTATAAGGGACTCTTACCACACATTATATACAATAAACTGTCATTCAGATAATTTGGGTTTCATTAACAGGTCGATATGAAAATTAGCCATTTCCAGAGGATTAAATTCAGCCATTATATTTTGATCTATTTTGATCATGCTGTTTAAGAACATTATACTGCCATTGTGTTTACTACCACATGTCTGCCACACACCAGTGTGTTTACTATCCCGTGTCTGCGTCAATGAATCAATCTGACATGCAAATAACCACCTGAATCAATCCACTGTCAATCATAGCAAGATATATTACTTTTAAAATTATAACAAGTGAACTTACGATTCATCCATATCTGATAATGAAGCACAAGTTGACTCCGATATAGATCTTGTTCGTTTTTGCTGTGGTGAAGCCATAGAGCAAAAGCTAGTAGTTCGAGCTGATCTTGAATCCATCATGGAAGCAACCGACTCTCCTGCTGTCTTTGAGGCTAAGGCAGGAGGTAGTGTCATGCACAAAACATCCAATGTCACATTGACTGAGGACAAGTCCACATCATTGCCCCTCAATGAATCCACAATTTCATCTGTTTCATACAAAATTAAAACAATTACTAAGGTGGCATTCAATATTTTAACAAATTCCAAATGTATAATATTACAACATGCATATTATATGTGATAAGTGATAAGGCTCTTTAGATGAATAATAATGAAATCCAACTAAATATTTGTGAGAACAATATTTCCAAATTCAGTTAGTGTGAAGCTTTTGTGGTGGCAGAGAGGCAGAGTATAAAATGTATGAACAATTATTTAGGAGAATTTAATTGGAAGACTAGTTTCCAGTAATAATTAATTATTAGAGTGCAAATCTATTATGCTCAAATATAAACTGAATATACTGTACTGAGAACTTTCATAATAAAATATTACAAAATAAGAGGACTCTTTCAAATCAAAATTGACCTGGAAATTGCTATTACCTGGTGACAAATTAAACATCAAAAGTGGAACCAGTTTTAAACAGAAGGCAGATGAAGAGGTAATGGTAACAAATTTCAAATGATCTTAACACTTACTAAGGCAAGTAGGTACTGTCTTCATAGATAAAGTAGACTGTACGTGACCGGCAAGTCGGACTGTACAAGTGAAGTGCAGAAAGAGAGGAGGGATGGGACCATCGGCTAGATCCATATTATCAGGTAACGTGCTGAGGTCTTCATCGCGTTCACTGATTACTGACGTTTTGTCTTCATCTCCTTCAAAAGCTGTCAGTTGACTATGAAGACGATGGTATACTGTAGAAATTTAAGAACAATTAATGTTGAGAAAAATAGTTATCAGATAAATTTATTCAGAAATACTAGATGATCACACACAAATGAAGAAAACGTATACACTTAACTTTATTACATTTGAAATAAAAAGGTGGTTAACATTAAAAACTTCCCAATTCATATATAATAAATCCATTATATAACTAAGATACATTTTCCTCACAACAGGATGATCAAGAATGGTAACCTTGGACAGGCATAATTCAGAACATGAATAAGGAAGTAATGTGTACAGGGTGTGCAATTATTACAGGGTACTAAAATACAGTGTACAAGATGGTGTAATGATCACAAATATGATGAGCATTCAGTGATGATTGTGAATGTAGTGGTTGTGATGTTGGAAGCAGAGGTTGCTGTGGTGTTGGAAGCAGAGGTTGCTGTGGTGTTGGAAGCAGAGGTTGCTGTGGTGTTGAAAGCAGAGGTTGCTGTGGCTGTGGTGTTGGAAGCAGAGGTTGCTGTGGCTGTGGTGTTGGAAGCAGAGGTTGCTGTGGCTGTGGTGTTGGAAGCAGAGGTTGCTGTGGCTGTGGTGTTGGAAGCAGAGGTTGCTGTGGCTGTGGTGTTGGAAGCAGAGGTTGCTGTGGCTGTGGTGTTGGAAGCAGAGGTTGCTGTGGCTGTGGTGTTGGAAGCAGAGGTTGCTGTGGCTGTGGTGTTGGAAGCAGAGGTTGCTGTGGCTGTGGTGTTGGAAGCAGAGGTTGCTGTGGCTGTGGTGTTGGAAGCAGAGGTTGCTGTGGCTGTGGTGTTGGAAGCAGAGGTTGCTGTGGCTGTGGTGTTGGAAGCAGAGGTTGCTGTGGCTGTGGTGTTGGAAGCAGAGGTTGCTGTGGTGATGGAAGCAGAGGTTGCTGTGGCTGTGGTGATGGAAGCAGAGGTTGCTGTGGCTGTGGTGATGGAAGCAGAGGTCTGTGGTGTTGAAAGCAGAGGTCTGTGGTGTTGAAAGCAGTAATTGTTGTGGTTTTGACAATAATGATGATTACCATAATCTCTCCCCATAACCTTCCCCCATCTCCTCCCCCAACTGCTGCTAGATGACAGATCAGTTCAAACTCATATTACAAGAAGACCTTGACAACAATTTGCTGCTAATAATTTCCCAGACACTTGCTAATATTAAAAATCCTTACCAGTACTGCCAATTTCAGATCGGAATTCAATGCTTTTATCATGGTCTTCATCTTCATCCTCCTCCTCTCCACCGTTAACAGTATTTTCATCATCAAGTTCTTCTTCACCCTCCGTAAATACATCAGATTTCTGGAAAAACATTGAGAAATTTTGATAAGAAAAAGTTATCTATTTTGTTTATACAACATAAAACGGCAACAAAAAATGTGCACATCATTTTTTTAAGCCTACCAATCAAAATAAAGTTAAGCAAGTTTTACACTACAGAAATACTTTGGAATTACTGTACTTCTCTTTTCAAATAATGCTTGGGTGAAAGTCATGTGTTGAAACTCAATGTAAAACACAGTGAGTTAACAAATTACAGCTTTCATATTTATACAGTACCTAGTACAAACAAATTTAGATTTCCATATTCAATTTAGTACAGGCATCTCATTATATAGGAATTCAATGGGCCTATACAGATAATGCTATGTATAACAGTAATGTATCAATAAAGGAACTAATTCAATATGTTAACTGTTACACTACTATTTGTGGAACAGTAGTGTAACTGGGGAGGGGGTAGAAATCTAACCCCCTAACCCCCCCTAAGTACTGTAACCCTTCAACTGTAGCACTGTGAGATACTAACAACAAACCAACATGGCCCACCACCTACATTGGTTAGGAGGCATAAACAATGACTGGAGAGCCAAATCATCTTGTCATTAAAGTAGGCCAAGACTCTAGCATCCATGAACCAAGCTTCCAGAGAATGACATGAGTAAGCTTGGTGAATTTTATAAGCTAGACTGTACATACCAAAAGATGTCCTTGAGGTCCAAGAAATGAGCCAAGACTTGCTCAATACCAGCCAGCAAACCTCACACACATGGTGGTCATCCATAATGAATGACATGTTACATGAAAATTGATCACCAACAAGTCATGGATCCACCTTAGGAGAATCCTTCTGGCCCACTGGGTCGAGAACCAATGTAACCCACAAGGAAATCCCCCCCCCCCCACTGTCCAACATTTGTTAATGTAGGCACAGTAATAATGAAGTAGATGGCAACCCAATGTCCAGGGACACCAATGGAGGACCAGGGAACCAATTCCAAGAGATACCCTCAGAAACCACCTAATATGGCAAAATGTTTCTGGTCCAATCGTTGAAAATCATGCAGACATTCCCACAGTATAATGGTACTGATAATCACCATGAAAGAGCTTCTGAGAACCATGAAAGTAGCCTCACCTAGATATCCCAACACTGGATGAACCTTGATGTTGCCCAAAGGCAGCACAGAAAAGGAGCTGTGATAAATGCTTAAGTTGAGCTTAACTTTTCCAGGCCAGTGAAGCTAAACCACAAGTGGTAGAGAGACTTTTTAATTGGATTTTTGTGCTTTCTGGATGCAACATTGTATTTTTTTTTTTTTTTTTTTTTTTTTTTTTTTTTTTTTTTTTTTTTTTTTTTTTTTTTTTTTTTTTTTGCACACCACAGAGTTGGTACTGTACATTTAACAGGTGAGCAGTGCAGGGATTAAGGAAGTCAACTGACCTCCACGGCAAAAATTTATGCCCACCAAACAGAAACAACCACAAATCCAATCTCCAGGCAGGAGATAGGACTGCTGGAACCGGTGATGGATTGGCATGCCAAAAGTCTTCAGCTGGCACGACGAAGTTTAAAAATATTTGAGTGAAAACTAAAAGGATTTGTTTTTTTTAGTGTACCTAGTAAAATTCATATTACATATCAAAAATAGAGCTAAAATGAATTTATTTCATATAATGGAAATCATTTTTAAATTTTATAAAATACCTTATTTATTTAAATACTGTACTAGTACAGTATCACAGTGCACATTCTGCACGCATATAATGGCACGAAATAACTTGCTAAGAAGCCCTTAATTAAACCCCCATCATGCTGTATCTTAGATGCAGTACAATATACAATCATTTATACAAGTCTTCCACACATGCTACTCAAGACAAATGGCGGCCATACCATAACTGTCAGAAAAATCATGTTAAGAGAATGAGGTTTCTTCAGTGAGCATCAACAAGGCTTCTAGAAGGCAAAAAACATGGCAAGATAACAGTCAAAATTATAATTAAGAGACACTTAGGTATAATTTAGTTTATAAAGGCATGCCAGATAGACACAGTTTACAATATACAATACAGAGAACTAGTTGAATTAACTAACTAGAAGTCAAGAAATAATAGTTCATAAATACAGTACTGTACTAGAGAACATACATATGCAAATGATTAGCAGACCAGTTAAAACAAAATATTCAAATAAAGCAATATAGATGCAACTAATGATATATAGGCAAACTCAATATTATATTATATATAATATATAATTATTATATATATATATATATATATATATATATATATATATATATATATATATATATATATATATATATATATATATGTCGTACCTAGTAGCCAGAACGCACTTCTCAGCCTACTATGCAAGGCCCGATTTGCCTAATAAGCCAAGTTTTCCTGAATTAATATATTTTCTCTAATTTTTTTCTTATGAAATGATAAAGATACTCATTTCATTATATATGAGGTCAATTTTTTTTATTGGAGTTAAAATTAACGTAGATATATGACCGAACCTAACCAACCCTACCTAACCTAACCTAACCTAACTTTATTGGTTAGGTTAGGTTAGGTAGCAGAAAAAGTTAGGTTAGGTTAGGTTAGGTAGGTTAGGTAGTCGAAAAACAATTAATTCATGAAAACTTGGCTTATTAGGCAAATCGGGCCTTGCATAGTAGGCTGAGAAGTGCATTCTGGCTACTAGGTACGACATATATATATATATATATATATATATATATATATATATATATATATATATATATATATATATATATATATATTATATAGTACTAAATTTTCATATCAAAAGATCATACCCCCCAGAGAATGACAGCACAATTAACATGCAGTGTCAAGATGAAACTATCTGAAGTATTTGGAAGCAAGCTCCAAACTTACAACATTTCCAGAATAACATGTAATAACAAATGCTTACAGGTGCCAATAAACTTTGCCATTAAATGCGTAATTACTGTATTCTTATACGTCATGCAAGACAGTGCTATATAGAAACCGATACTACAGCAACCTCAGCATTGCAACAGTAATACAGTAAATACAAAATCAACTCAATTTGAATATTAATAAACCAATAAATACAGCCAATAACACCTCATTTACAAACTGAATTAATAATAGACAAGGCAATCTGAGTTTGCTAATCAGTTTATTTGAAGAAGTACCTTGCTTACAGATACTCTTCGCAACTTTCGATGCCTCGTCAGGTCAAGCTGATCCTGGAAGGTTGTGGGAACAAATTACATAAAGTAAGTTCCAAAATCTCAGAAAAAGTTAACGTAAATAGTAAATACAGTGTGGAAATTAGTTGTACGTACACAAACACATTAATGTGCAGTGCCTCTCTCATATACTGTAATAAGTGCTGCATAATGGCCATTTTACCTACATTATACAGGATACAGTATATTATATTCCAAGTGCCTGCCTGCCTGTATGTTTTTGTCTGCCTTTGTTCCTCTGTGTCTATATCTACAACTGTCTGCATCTATCGGGCTGCAGCTGTGTCTATCTGTGTATCTAACACACAAGCTATTGAATGTGGCTATTAAAAATAAACTCAAGAGTCCCACAAAGAGGCAGTTCAGTTAGTTAGAACACACAGGAAGGGTGACAGGCAATTTACTAGCATGAATAAAAAAAAAATCCTAATTGACAAAGACAGGAGCAGTGATAAGAGCCAATGTTTTAGACAGGGGGAAATGTCACTAATTGAGTCCCACAAAGTTCATGTTCATTTTTTACATAAAAAAAAATCCCCTGAAGGGACACAGATTTATGTGAATATTTTCATGGATGGTTCTAAGCTACTTGGAAGTTTAATAGAATAACTCTCGGAAATTATTACCTACAAAGTACACTACAGGTAAATAAATTTGGAGTCAACTGAGCATATGAGATGCAAAGTTGTGTTATTGTATGAAGTCTGCTCTGATATCACAGCCTGCCAAAGACTACTATATATTCAAACTTGTGCCAGAGGAAAAATGTGCTATGATTTTCTTTTTCCGAAATGGGTAAAACATTATTGTTACACAAGACCAGTATGGTGACCAAAATGGAAGAAATGATACACAAACCTTCATAGCTATTAAGATCATAACAATACAAAAAAATGTAAGTCTATACATAAACATGCCCAACATTAAATCTCTTGGATTTTATAATATACATTATAACACTTAATTTTACCACATCATAAGGAATTTCATCCAAAACAGCTAAGTTAGCAAATAAAACCCTATGTAGGGAGTAGAATATGGTATAAAAAGTGGCATTTGAGGGGTATCAAACATTTTGTTCAAGCAGCATGCAGGTCAATGTTTTTGACAATTTATGCTTCTACCTTATAATTATAATAGAATGAGAATTTAAAAGACTTTATTTACATTTTATATAATTATTTTCAAACATCATCTTTTAAGTACTGAAAGAAGTTGCCTGTATTGGATGAAATCTAATACAGGTATATTAATTATAAATTAGTAATATCAGGCTTGGAAGCATTTAAGTTAAAACATAAATAGAACATCAAGTGGAATGAAACGTCCCTTTCTGGGTGGTACCTCGGTAGCTCTCCCATGCATTGACACTGGGCCCCACAAGACACACCGTGCACCAGGTTCTGAGCGACTTTACATCCAAAAAGAACAAAAACCTTTTCAAGTTTTCTTGTTCCCCCTTCCCCCACACACAAAGCGGTGCAGAGCTAAGTGGAGGGTATACTTCTTAATCCACCTTGAAGTAACTGCTTACAATAACACACACAAACCATTTAAAAACAAAAAAAAAGTGCCAAATTATCCTAGGCACCTTTAAACTGTCAAATAATCACTCTGTAATAACCAAAGTACATTGACCAGCACTAGATGGCAGCACTAGTGTAACAAAGTTGAGGGGAGTACAATTCCCACTTTAATCCCAGCAGCAAGTTCAGCAATTGAAGAATAAGGAATCCAAATTTATTAGTGGTATTTTATTATGTAAGCACTACTAGAGCAAGTACCATTTATCCTCTCTGCACTCACACCACTGCAATCACAACAGATTGGGCACCACACCATAAAGCAACCATTAAAGAAGGCAGCCCTATATGCAGAGACATTCTCAAGGATCAAAACTCAGATCTTGAATAACTATTCTGGCTTTTGTAGGATCTAACCAACTGTCCAGGGGGGTGCCAGGTAATTAACACTTTCGCGCTCTCCGCAAAGGTCACTCAGCCAACCGAATGTGCGCGCTGCGTTTTTATCGCTTAAGCGTAAAAACAAAAATGTGTATACTCTTTTTACTCTTCTGACCTTAGTTCTCATGCTACGTATTTCATTTTGGTACCAACGTGTTCGCAATAAAATTCTCTAGAAGAACATTAGTAAAATAAGTCACGAAACATATAGGGATACCAGCACCAAATAAATAACTACGTAGATGACTCGCCGTGAGCGCCCATCAGCAACAAAATGTTTTTACTCTTGGGATTGTAATCACCTCCACACTTGTTCTACAGCGTTAATTTTGGTATCAATGGACTCGCAATGAAATTCCCAACACGGTGATATGAATATAAGCGTAGAATAATGATGCAGCCCGCCCGCAAGAGTGTGGGAAGTGGTAAAATTGTTACCCGGTATCGGTGACGGGACGACGCACGGCGCTTTGAAAGTTTATACTTATTTCACTCTCATGACATTAATTTTCTATGTACGTCATTCATTTTTATGTCAATGTGTTCGCAATAGAATGTTCTATGTGCCCATAGGTAAAAAATATCAACAAAGCGTAAGTTAGAATAGCGACAAATATAAAACAACGCTGGAACATATCAGTGAGCGTCAAACACACACGAAATATTTTTACTTTTGTTATGTTTGTCAAGATTATACTTGTTGCACACAGTTATTTTTGGTTGTATATTGATCGGAATAAAATTCCCTAAACAGACATATGCATATAATACATGATATGGGGGAAGAATTACCAGTATAAACGGCTAAAGTCACCCACCTGCAACCCGTTTGGGACAAAATACCATTTGATCGAAGTTATCCACACCTTTCATGAACTTATTGTACCATGCAGCCTAGTGGTGAGAAAGAGAGCCTCATAGCGCGCAGTTTGAAACAAACCCAAAGTAAATCGGATAAAAATTGAATTTTATACAAATATTTTAAAAGTTGACATAACTTTATGTCCACTATGCGTTAGCGTTAGACGAAACCGAACGCGCCGGCGCGTCCAGATAGCGCGAAAGTGTTAATAACATGGTTACTCTTTCCCTTCCCCCTATCATTACACCAAGATTGGAATATGAAGCAACTATATGGCGCCCACATCTCAAGAAGTACATAAATAAACTGGGAAAATGTGCAACAACGTGCAATTAAATGGCTTTTGGAACTGAAAAATAAAAGCTATGAAGAGAGGATGAAAGTGTTAAATATACCAAAGCTAGAAGATAGAAGAAAACATATGATCACTACAGACAAAATAGTTAAAGGAATTGACAAAACTGATAAATTAGAACTTATGAAAACTGCAACTTCAAGGTCATAAATTCAAACTAAGGAAACCAAGGTGACCAAAAATTAAAAAGTTCTCTTTTGCAAACAGAGTGGTAGATGGTTGGAAGAAATTAGGCGAGAAGGTGGAGAAGGCCAAAACCTTCAGTAGTTTCAACACATCATATGATAAAAAGTACTGGAAAGAAGGAACACTACGAGCGTAGCTCTCATCATGTAACTACACTTAGGTAATTACAATTGGTGCATTTGGGTTGATGAGTATTTTGTTTTTTCACGGCAATTCACGACAATTTGAAAGTTACCAGGAATCACTTGGAGGGAGTTTTGGGTAGTTTGAAGGGCTTGTCATAGTGAGTGGTTACCTCAGGAGAGACCGAGGTATACTCTCCAGTGACTTTCCCTACTCCTTGTTGAGAGAGGTAAGACAGTTTAGGTATGTGTCCTCCTTGGCATAAAGTCACCCAAAACCATGTGTAGTGTCAGTATCCTGGGAGGCTCTAGTGTCAACGCACATGAAAGCAGGCCGAGGGGCCATGCTCAGAAACATTACATTTATAATACGAGAGTGTTGACAAACTTTAACTGAACTGCAATGATAATCATTACTGAATGCCAGCACAGTGTGCTACATAGCATCACCTCATAATAAACTTTATAAATATCCCAAAAACTGGCTTAAGAGCATTGATGAAAATGACTGAGAAAAGCATGAATATAAATAAAAAATATAAAAACAAAATGTAAGTAAGTGTTTTAAGACAAAATTTTATTTGATTTTTCAAATGTGATTTTTTTTTATTATTTAGAACATTCAGCGTATCAAACCATTATTTTTAAAACGTAATATTAACAATTATCACATACATGGCAGAAAAGTATAATAACTTTTAGAAAACAGCAACTCTAAAAATGTTAAGTTAACTTATGAACATGCAAATAAATAAAAAGCCAGTTCCATTTGTCTCAGTTGTCTATTGTCTGAGACCGAGCACAACTCTCACACAAGCAACGCTAACCTTTTCCCATTGTTCCAGTTCCCGAGATGACACATAGATGAAATCTCCTACTGGTGTTCCCTGCACCACCAGTCACAGATAAAATGTCCTTATATTAGATTAAACACAAACACTACAAGAAGAACAATGATAAAATATATTATCAACAGGTAATGTTACTGACAATTCCTTCTAATGTTTCCTATGAAACTACACTATACAGTACAGTACTGTACTATATAACATGCAATGACCGATCACTATTTCTTTATATGTAGGTTAAGCTCAAACAAAGCATACTATAAACAAATTGAAAATATTATACAGTATTTATAACTAGCTTCATAAACTGTTTGTGTTTAAAAACTCCTCAAGGGGATAATTATTTTAAGAAAGCATTTCAAAATCTGTGACACAGTATACGAGTTAATTTAAGAAAATGTTACAGAACGTTTAAATAACACCAGACTTTGAACAGTATGATCAGTAATTTTTGTATTTAATATAAAAATATAGCAAAGTATTATTATGTATGAACAAACAAATAATTATTAAATCAATAATTAAAGAGTTAGTCAGTGACTATCAATGCCAGTCTCAATCTTGAAATTTGCAGTTACTTTTTTATTTAATTAATAAGTGATGTCACAGGCAGGAGTGGTATGGTAGTGCTGTGAGCTGCTGCTGCTGGATATGTTACTTATGGTTGCTCTTTCACTACTGACCCACAAATTTTGTCCAAGATGGCATCTGTTTAATGAAGGCCTGAGGATGCAGATGTGAGCCCTGTGCACTAGTGGGAGTTTTAAATCTTACACATTACTTTAAAACCTCCCTGACTGTGTTACGCAATTCCTGGGTAATTGGTGAGAAAATCCTGGTTGTATCGCACAGTTGAAGGGTAAAGGACCCTGACAAATGCTCTATCTGGTCTCAGGTACACATTTGGCTTTAATTTTTCTATTTGTTTAATACCTTCCTCCTCGGTAACTACGAACCTAGTCCACTTGCCCTTTTCTTTACCCCACAGCTTTGTTTAACTGCAGGAAAAATGTGGTTCTTTTTCTAGTAAAGCGTAAGATAAAGTATCTGTTTAGAATACAACCATCTGTCATTATCAATAAAAGTTTGACCTTAATTTATTAAATCAATCTATAATGCGCTGGCTTGGACATTTGAAAAGATAAATGTTGCATACTGGTGCAGAATGTAGACCTTCTTAACACTAACATTACATGATGCTCTCCAAGAAACCTGTAGGAACATGCTATAGGAAGCAGCAAATTTGTACAACTCAATGCTTTTAGTCATCTTAAAAATATTTTTTATAAAGTGAATCATTTGAAGGCTCACTAAGGTAAGCATCAACTGCATCTACAGAACAGGTTCAAACACACATTAAGGCGCTAGACACTCCAAAGAAAATAGTAACCAATCCACAATAATCAATACAGATATATTCTAAAAAACTCAAAGCTCTACCTAATTATTCTTCACTTGGCATCATATGCGACTGCCTAATGAGGGTTCATTAACTACTTGTTTGCTTGCTTGACCACTGTCCCTGACCACTTTCATGTGGCAGCCTCATGCATGTACTTCCAGTGCTTCCAGCCTTGGATCACCTCCCATGTTTCCTCGATGTGAAAATTAAATTTGCACACAGAATAACAGGAGATAATTGGATGGAGACCAATTATCTCCATTATATACGAGTCTGACCATCATCAGCCTCATATAGGTCACTTTTTATGCTATCTGAGGTTAGATAAGGTTTTCAGTCTCCATAAATGTATCTGTCTAACTGGAGAGGATAGAGTTCTTTATGAGACATTAGAGGAAACTAATGTCTCACTAGCACCTTTAATGACTCTGCGGGGACATATGAAAAATTGCCTGTGGCACCAGAGCCAGAATGTTGGAGCTTGACGTTACATGATGCTAGTCAATACACACCAGATGTTAACCTCAAGGAATAATTTATTATCAAAACTAAAAAATATATACAGCAAACACATAAGCCTGTGGAGATAACACTGAGCTACAATATATAGAAAAAATGTGGAAATCTTAAGTGCTTATTTAATGGATATTGCAAGTATTTATTTGCTTTGTATATATGGTAGCAAGTCTGGCACTTGCACACAAAACTCATAATTACATACCTCACTGGATCGACGAAATGTCTGAGGTGAGAAAAAATAGTAATCGGGTAGGGATGGAACTGGGTGGAAAGAACCCTGAAGGATGGTCAAGAAGCGTTCTCGAATACTTGAATGGAGTTGCTGCAGATCCCGGCAAGGATGGTGTAGCTTCAACAAGGAGAGTGGGAACCTGTTGCTGCTCATCCCACTGCTGCTTCTCTGACCTGCCATGTCACTTGAATTCGCTGATGACTCTTGCTTCGCTTGCTGTGGATACAGTAACAGTATATTAATGAATAAAATTATTTCTACAAATCATCTACCACATTTTCCTATGTTCGTGCAGATGTGAGGTATTAACCTAATTTTATCCCATTAACCTTTATGGGAGGTTAATGTAATAGTGGTCAAATCAAGGAAGATGAACCTAAACTGCATTATATATAATCTATTCATGTGCCTTTAAAACTGTTTACATGATTTCCAGTCCTGTGTATTGCTCGACTCTAGTCAAAAGATAACTTCAGCATGAAGGCATTGGCTGGAACACACGTAGCAAGAGGCATGTGTTCTGCTAGTGATATAGTGGTAGCCTATGACCAATATCACCTCTATACAGGTAAGTTAGGGGCTTGTTAGCTGATTCACCTGCTCCAATGCTTGGATACTACACATCATAATAAGGTTAGTGTGTAATATACAGTATTTATAAGCCTGTGCTTTGAGAAGTGTATTTTTTATCTGAACTGTGAGGGTAGAGTGTAGGTAATCCTCCACCAAGTTTAGAGTTTTTCTTTGCACTGTACAGTTTGACAGTGTGTCTGATGGCTAACAATGCTGTTCAAACCCGTAGATTTTCACTTTCCCGTGCTTTGTGAAGTGTGCTTTTTCTCAAAATGTTAAAGGAATGGTAGTAGATCTCCCTGAAGTTGAGAGAGTAAGTCTATGTCCTATATGGTTTCTTATACAACTGGTTGATGCCTTATTTCTAGCCCCCTAATTCTTAACCCTGGAATCTAGTTCCTAATGTTACAGCATTCATAACAGGATTGGTAGAAATAAACCTGTGATATTTCTTAAGAAACTGCCCACTTGGGAAAGTGGGTAGCTACTCCAGGAGATACCACACCAACCATGATTCAATTCATAAACATGCAAATGTTGAGCCAAATACACAGAAGACACATGATGAAGAAACATGTCTTGATGAATATCAAATACAATTTTGATTACCATGTGTAAATACCTTTCCTGTGGTTGTTCCCTGATCTGGTGGGTCTGTCTCAGGAACAGAAGGTTCTGGCCAGCGTTGATGTATATGCTCAAGATCCATGCGTAACCGGAAATCTCGAAGGTGCCCACAAATTGTCTGTTTGAAGACAGTACATGATAAAAGGAAAACTAAACTGTACATGGAATGCCAAAAACTCTAATGCGAGCAATAGGAATAGTACAGCATATCAAATCTCCAGTTCATCATTTAACAAACAAATTAAATGCTATATACAAAACATTCTCAGAATTACAGTACTTAAAATAAAACACTACTAATCCTGGAAACTGATAAACCATAAACAAAATTGTACAACAATATCCCATATTCCATGAAAGTCTAGAACAAATAACTGAAAAAATACAAGACTTCCCACCTGCAGAAAATTTGTAATCTCAATTTCCATGACAGATTCATGACAGAGATCTAGAGCAACTTGCATATCGTGTGCATTAATAGTTAGTTCTCTTTGTAATGCTTGGAACACCCCTAGAACAAAACTGCGAAGGTACAATACTTCCAATGCTTCTACATGAGCGCGAAGACAGCTTGAATCTGCTAAAATATTTAAATAAGAATTAATATACTGCTTTATTTATTCACTTAGCTATTGTACATCCAATACAGTAAACACTCAATTATCTTATGTTATATCTAATTTATTGTGTATACAGTAAGCCCTCACTGTCTACAATAAATGCATTCTGGAATAACCACAATACATGTGAATTTGCAAATTTGGAATTTGATGTTAAAATGCACAGGAAAAATAGGAATGCATTGCAGAGACCTCTCAAAGTTCACTTTTCCCACTCCTCTCTCAATATCTCTTGTTGGACATTATCATCACTAATTCCCAGTCATATGTACTGTACCTGGAATAAAGCAGACTGTATACTCAAGAATGTAAGAGCAATTGCCACATCCCAGTCACAAATATAATATATTGTACTGTACAGTATCTAGTAGCTGTATACACTTGCTACTGATATTGATGAAAGTAAACATTATTCTTTATACTGACAAGAGGAGGTTGAGTAACATTAGATCGGGAAAAGCTAAGAAACCAGACATTAGGAGAGTTGAGTACTACCGAGGCCATTTGCTTGGCATGCCTCTTGTAATCCGTAATTTATTGATTCCTCCTTGTACAGGAGTTAAGTCATCTTCCTCTGGTTTGAAGATGCCATCTCATTTCTGAGTATGTTCTCCTCTAAGTTGTAATGCCTAAAATCAGTACTGTTTTTATTTTATTGCAGAAACAAACATGCAATATAAAATATTGAAAAGTAATTCATACCTCCAACATCAGATTCTTCCGAGCGTGGTTCTGGGCTTGGTTGTTTTGGATCTTCCTGGAGGCTAGTGGCAGATGGAGTGGAGTCATCCTTCAGAGGAACTGTATCTTCTACAATTTCAGACTCTAATTTGGAAGTGGCGTCTACATAAACATCCTTCCCTACAACGCTACAACGATTGTCACTGCATAAAAAGTACATGCAAAATTTGCCATTATTTGTATACGCAATTATTATAAAAATAAATTAATTACCAGCTATGAACCATAATTGGTAGTAATTTCTAGTATTAGTAGCAGTAATACACCAGGCCTATTCAGTCACTTTGCTCTCCATGCTTATTTAAAATGTTGCATTGCTTCTAAGGTAAACAAATTACTGACTAACAACATGTTCCCTTAATAACCACATTACTTACACCCAAGATGAACATAAAACCTTCATTAACAAACAATAGCAATAACATATAAAGCTATACACAGAAAGATCAAGTGTGTATATAATGAAACTCCACCCTACAGTAGGGACTCGGTTGCCATCCAGTGCTTAAATTTTGGTACTGCCAAGTTTAAGGATTGTGCCAGGTTTTTGAGATCCATGCTGACATACTAAGAGTCAGAATCAGAATTGGAATCCTGTTCTAAGATGTTAATACTAGCCTAGATCATGACTTGGTGATTTTTAGTCAGCAACTAGGATACCCTTCCTCTCCCTCCCATGGTTGATATTGCTTCAGCTATATTGGGCAACCAACTTCCATGTCAGGATCTCATGCAGCTACTGCACTCCAGCATGGTCTGCCCTCTGAACCATGTCTTGTTGAAGGCACTGTTTCACCTTTTGAGCTGGTCGGGGACTGTGTGGTACAGGTATCTGGTTTACCCACTCTGCATTTTTCTTTGCCACTATCATCTTCAGGCATTTTAAGGTTCAAGTACACAACACCTTTCATTATTCAAGCTGTTCATGGACATGTTGGATTTCAGTTGGAAGTTTTGTTTACTGTCCTCATGATGCCAGTCAAAGGTTATTTTTGACATCAGCTGCACATCACAGTGTGGGAGTTTGTGATGGGCTTGCATCACAGTGAGCAAGCTTGTAGTGGTTTGGATGGTGCTTTGGAGAACATCTCTCTCTGGCAGGACATCCCTTTCCAGTTCCATGCTGGTGGTTCACTGCTTGAACGGGGGCAGAGCCACTCGGTCCCTTTCCTTGAGTGAATGGGCTTTGACTTTGGGGTTTACTTCTCAGTGCAGCCCACAATCATGGAATTCTGAATGTGCTTAGTGACTGCCTCTTCTGCATCTATCCTATTTCAATGGAGCGTTAGAGGTACAGGACCTACTTTCAGTAGATATGAGAAACATGCAGGATTCTGGAGGATCTATTTGCTTCAGCATGGAATCATCAGAACATTTCTTTGTTTCCCGACTGTAAGGACTTGTAAGGACTAAGTGATGTACTTGGCTGCATGCTAGAGAATAGGTTGTGCTCAGTTTTGTGTATGTTTTACCTGCTTGATGGGGTTCTGGGAGTTGTTCTACTCCCCAAGCCCGGCCCGAGGCCAGGCTTGACTTGAGAGAGTTTGGTCCACCAGGCTGTTGCTTGCAGCAGCCCGCAGGCTCACATATCCACCACAGCCTGGTTGGTCCGGCACACCTTGGAGAAAACAATTTAGTTTTATCTTGAAGATGTCCACGGTTGTTCCGGCAATATTTCTTATGCTCGCTGGGAGGATGTTGAACAACCATGGACCCCTGATGTTTATACAGTGTTCTCTGATTGTGCCTATGGCACCTCTGCTCTTCACTGGTTCTATTCTGCATTTTCTTCCATATTGTTCACTCCAGTATGTTGTTATTTTACTGTGTAGATTTGGTACCTGGCCCTCCAGTATCTTCCATGTGTATATTATTTGATACCTCTCTCGTCTCCTTTCTAGCGAGTACATTTGGAGAGCTTTGAGACGATCCCAATAATTTTGGTGTTTTATCGCGTCTATGTATATATGTTCTCTGTATTCCCTCTTTCAGCACTCTCTCCTGCTCTGAAGGGGGAAGTGCTGAAAGTAGTACTCAAGACAGGACTGTACAAGTGATTTGTATACTACAACCATTGTGATGTAAGCATCATGCCCCTTTTCCCATGTGTACTTAAATCATGTAGTCATGCTTTCTTACCCAAAGAAACACCTTTCCTCATTGCCTGATAGTCAGTTTGCTAATAATACTTATTTTGCACCTGGCATTGCCACCTGTTGTCCTGTGCACCTGAGAAATTTATTTATCTCATTCCTGTATTGTTGGATGTAATGATTCTTTAACCCAATCTAAAGCCAAGTTTTGCTGCTCTGTGATGCTTCCTCCACCCAATTTAGAGCTGAACTTTGCTACTCACAGCCTTTCATGATCCTTTTTTGGTAATTTAGCAAGACAACACCCCTATAAATATTTTATAAATATACCTATTTAAGTACCAATGGTACCACAAACCTCAACTAGGATTACCGACATTTAGCACACTTTAGGATACTGTCCGATGTTTGCCAAAATTAACGAAAATTAACTACAAATTTCTTGCCATAAAACGTCAGAGACAGACTGACTGACCACATAAAAGCTGGTATGGAACTATACTGTATTATTCAGCTTCATAATAAAATGCATTTAAAAGAAATTACAGTATACAGAAATAATGCAGTAGAAAACTACAAGTAGATGGTAAAGCCAACAGATCCCTAACATTCCCTGATGGGGATATATAATAAAACACAATTACACTTACCAGTTTATGAGCTGAGTAGTGATACTACTCAGTTTGCAATCATACACATAAATAGGCAAAGTAACTGCACCAAACAGAGGTTTGTAGGCAGGTGATGGATTTACAGCACTGGTACTTTCATCCAGGCTGGAAACTCTCCGTACAGAATCAGTTTCTCCTGCATCTCCAACTGCTTGTAAATGGAGGGGCACACAACTATCTTCATTTCTCAGACTTTCAGCCGATATGATTGTTGAAATAGGATCATATATGCCAGAATATGATTTAGATGGCATCGAGATATACCTTTTCCTGACATGTTCATTAGGAGAGGTGATTTTAGGGACATCATTCTGAGGCTCTTTGGTTGGTGAATCTACAGACCCAGTGCGGTTTCTTTCTGCACCTCCAGCTCCCTGACCAAAAGAACTACAACGTTCTCGACTAACATGGAAAGAACTAGCTCTTTCTCGCAGGAGGGAATCAGAAAATACTGGCTGAACTGAATGTGAATTTGTTTGAGAGATTGGACCAGATTTGTAGCGAATTCTAGATGGAGCATGATCACCGACCTCATCAACTGACACAGTGGCATATCTACTATTTGTCGGCGTGGGTGGAGGTAGACTAGGAGATGTCATGTGTGTGAGCGATGATGTGCTACTTTCTAAAGATATCTGTTGCTCTGACATGGGACCTGCCGGAGGCTGGTCAGTTGTATTAGTCTCAGTGTCTAAGTCCAAGAAGCTTGAAGAATTTGGAACAAGCTTGAGAGCCATATTTCTGGTTTCAGTTATATTGGCACGTTTGACTAGCAGCAACTTTAGGTCACTGTAAGATGCTGGTAGAAGAGTAATTAGGAGGTGGTTGCTGGAAATGCCCTTCAAGAAACACCGCCATTTGGGAGGATCACTCGTTTTATCTGTGGAGATAAATGCATATGTTGCATAAAAATCATTAAATTAAACAATTTAAATTTAGTAGAATTTTTGTTTAATTTTGCATTGAAGATATATGGAATGAAGATAGAATATGGCCAAAAGTTAGCACAAATTTGGATCCCAGGAATAAAGAAAATTCTGAAATACGTACGTGACAGGTTGAGTGTAGAGATAAGGGTCATGACCATTATGAAAGAAACACTAACCAACTGAAGATAGAACCAAGGTCAGCCAAAAAGGAGATAAGGAACCTCAAAGAAAAAACAAAACCTATTCCAAATAATGGGATAAGCAAGACTAAAGTAAGGAGCAATCAACCAGTGGAGGGACCTGCTTTAGTAAAGATAACATTTGTAGACACTGAAAATGGACACAGATGTTAAAAAATCATTGCAGGTGGCAATGCAAACAGCCATATCAGAGTAAGCAGAACAGAGCATTAGCCAGTTGCAAGAAAGAATACAAGCAATAGTGGAGGTACTGATTAACCGGCTAAGCTCTACATGATATTCACTTCACTGGGTTCAGAAAGATGGATTTTCAGCCAAATCTTTCCAGCCCTTTATTTGAGGGGATATAAAGCTGCTTGCACCATGTAAGGTAGACATTAGGTTTACCTCTTCCACAAATATTCACCAATAATATGAAATATCACGTGAATAAAAATTCATGCGATAAATAAAACAAATAAAAATAATGTATAAAGGTTCTTCCTTATAACATACAGCATTTCAAACATCCTAGACAAAATGGTTTACATTTTGTTACATTGCACCAAAATTTACACACAGTGTAATGTCAACTTACTGATATAGGTGTTAGAAAATGGTGAGGATTTGGCAGTAGGGGGACGGTTGCGTTGTTGAAGGACATGCGGTAGAGCTGCCATATCACTGGGACTGAGCTGAAACTCTCGGTTGTGATGTAACTGACACAGATGATCCAGCAATAAGCTGTACAGAATCTGGTTGGCCTCATCCACTGATGTTTCACATCCAAATGTAACTCTCTTTACAAGACTGCTAAATAAATCTGAAAGTTAAAATATACATGTGATAACAGTGTCATTTTGTATGTACTGTACTCAGCGTTTTGCCTATTTATAATTTGCCCTCCTTTAGCCCAAGTTGGAACAATTACAAAGTAAACAAAACGAATTCTATAAAAATTAAACTGTTTATAACTACAGTACTATACTTCTACATTTTTGTTATGTATGTTTCAAATTCAATATTTAGCATTTTCTCATATGTTTCATGTTATGCAGCTGCCAAGAGTTTTACCAACACAAAAGGAGAATTAATACATACAATTTGTTAAAAATATTATATATATATATATATATATATATATATATATATATATATATATATATATATATATATATATATATATATATATATATATATATATATATATATATGTATGTATGTATGTTTTCAATTTAATAAGTACATTATAATGACAATTTGGAAAACTTAAGTAATATCCAAGTGTAGTATATTACAACTGATATACATTACTGTACATGGCAGAGAAAAAGATCAGAAAAGAATTGTATAAATTTTGTAATACTTATGTCAGCATTCTTCTGGATATTAATTTGGCGCATTATTTCACCAATACATGAAAGCTTTACTGATTGATCTTAAATATACATGAAGTTCAACCTGCTGACACAAGGGGGCAGAAGCCAGATAAGGTCACTAATATTGTACATAAAAGCTTTACTGACCTTGTATATACGTGGAGACAAGAAGTTCAACCTGCTGACACATGGGCAGGAGTCGGATAACATCAAAGGAAAATGGTACTTGTGTGATACGCAGTGCAGGATCGCCGTTTACTTCGGCAGGTTGGTGAGCGTCAACAAGCCCAGAAGCCTCAATGCCACCACCACTGCCACCACCCTGACACATCAGCAACAAGTGTTCCACGGTCAGTAGTCCCCAGATACATTTTTCATCCACTGGGAAGAACTGACAATAGTGGGAAAAAAAATAATAAATTTTCACAAGAAAATTTAGAATCATGCTTAACCCCTCCACTGCGCACATGTTTTTGGCAAAAACTTCACAGTGCAATTATTAAGGACATATTTTTGTTGTTTTTATAAATGTTCTGATAAAGTTAATGTTAAAATATTTCCAAACTCAACTATTTTCATTTCAAAACAAAAGAGCGACAAAAACATAAATTTTAAAAAACTAAAATTTAGCCTAATTAACGTCGTCGTCCCTTCAATTTCTAGTGTGTGGTCTGGTCAACATAGCCTAATGAAATAAACCGGACAACTCTTAAAACAGCATTTGTTGTTTAGCACAGTGCAGTGGTTAAAATGTCTTTAATATAAATAAAATCATAATTCTTTATCCTAAGCCTATATTATTCACTAATTTAATATACAAAATATGGCCCAGGCTATTTAATACACTACCTCTATTCAAATATAGGCCTAAGAGAAATAAGTGTACTGTATAAACTGTCTTCATCATCCTAATTTAATGGTATATCTTTTGGCAATATCTGTCTCACTGCTCTAATGGAAAGCCAGACATTATCTTACCAATATACATCACCATTCAAATTGCAAGCTAAATGTTAATCAATTTATGTTTAGAAGCAAGTTTGATTTACACTGCTATATGCAGGTGATGAGTCACAATAACGTGGCTGAAGTACCAGACCACACACTAGAAAGTGAAGGGACGACGGCGTTTCGGTCCATCCTGGACCATTCTCAAGTCGACTAAATCGACTTGAGAATGGTCCACATCAACTTGAGAATGGTCCAGGACGGACCAAAACGTCATCATCTCTTCACTTTCTAGTATGTACACTGCTATACATCTCTTCCATCCAGCCATAATTGTAATGATTTGTGTAAAGTTGTTATGCATAAAGCTCCTCATTCTAATTCTAGCATGACAAAGGAAGGCAATCCTCATCCCTCTCACATGATTGTACAACTCGCAAAGATAAACAACAGTACTGTATGTGTCAATGGTATAAAACTAGATACGGTTCCAGTATATACAGATCTACCAGGACAGTGTCTCCAGTAATAAATAGGTACCTAGGAGTCAGGCAACTATTGTGGGTTGCATACTGGGTGAGGAATATAAGCTACAAGACCTCTCTCCCCCCCCCCACACCATCTTCCATTCCTATGCTTTGAGTCCAGTGTGATAAACATCCACTTAGTGCTCTAAATCCTCACAACCCAGGGTGATAACCTCCATTTGGTGCCCCAGGCATACTCTCAACCCACAACAGCTGGAGGTCAGAGACGTCTCTCTCATCCTCGTCAACACCAACAGCTTCCTTCCCTGGATAACAGTTAATTTAAGACATTACATACAACCTCATATTATAATTACAGTACTCTCTGGTTGTACACACACTGACATAAGAGGGCAAATGTGCACAGGTAATAACTGATTACTTAATCTCCGAGATTCAGTTCAACAACATAGCCCATCTGTTAGTCATGTGTAATAGTACCTGGATGGGGTTCTGGGAGTTGTTCTACTCCTTAAGCCTGGCCTGGGGCCAGGCTTGACTTGTGAGAGCTTGGTCCAACAAGCTGTTGCTTAGAGCGGCGCACAGGCCCACATATTCACCACAGCCCAGTTGGTTTGGCACTTCCTGAAGAAAGCTATCCAGTTTTCTTGTGAAGATGTCCACATTTGTTCCTGCAATATTTCTTATGTTTGCTGGGAGGATGTTGAACAACCGGGGACCTCTGAAGTTTATAAAGTGTTCTCTCAATGTGCGTATGGCACCTCTGTTCTTCACTGGTTCTATTCTGCATTTCCTTCCATATCATTCACACCAAAAATTTTGTTATTTAACTGTGTAGATTTGGGACCTGGTCCTCCAGTAATTTCCATGTGTATATTATTTGACACCTCTTTCATCTCCTTTCTAGGTACTGTAGTACATTTGGAGAGCTTTGAAACGATCCCAATAGTTCAGGTGCTTTATCGTGTCATTGCATGCTGTGTATGTTCTCTGTATTCCCTCCATTTCAGCAAGCTCTCCTGCTCTCAAGGGGAAAGCGAGTATCGAGCAGTACTCAAGATGGGACAGCACAAGTGATTTGAATAGTACAACCAATGTGATGGGATCCCTGGATTTGAAGGTTCTCATAATCCAACTTGATCATTTTTCTGGCTGATGGTATATTTGTTTCGTTATGCTTTTGTACTGTAACCCTTCACCACATGTTGGTATCCTGCAACTCACCACCAATCACATGTAGGAATACTGCACCATTACATTGTTACATTTAGATATACTGCAACTCCCTGCCTGTCATACATAGATATACTGCAACTCTCCACCAGTCACATGTAGGTATACTGCAACTCTCCACCAGTCACATGTAGGTATACTGCAACTCTCCACCAGTAGCTACAAGAGAGGGCAGCAGTAGCCCAGCGAGGGAGGGAGGGCAGCAGTAGCCCAGCGAGGGAGGGAGGGCAGCAGTAGCCCAGCGAGGGAGGGAGGGCAGCAGTAGCCCAGCGAGGGAGGGAGGGCAGCAGTAGCCCAGCGAGGGAGGGATGGCAGCAGTAGCCAGATGTGGGATGGCAGCAGTAGCCAGATGTGGGATGGCAGCAGTAGCCAGATGTGGGATGGCAGCAGTAGCCAGATGTGGGATGGCAGCAGTAGCCAGATGTGGGATGGCAGCAGTAGCCAGATGTGGGATGGCAGCAGTAGCCAGATGTGGGATGGCAGCAGTAGCCCAGCGAGGGAGGGATGGCAGCAGTAGCCAGATGTGGGATGGCAGCAGTAGCCCAGCGAGGGAGGGATGGCAGCAGTAGCCAGATGTGGGATGGCAGCAGTAGCCAGATGTGGGGTGGCAGCAGTAGCCAGATGTGGGGTGGCAGCAGTAGCCAGATGTGGGGTGGCAGCAGTAGCCAGGTGTGGGGTGGCAGCAGTAGCCAGCGAGGGGGGATGGCAGCAGTAGCCAGGTGTGGGGTGGCAGCAGTAGCCAGATGTGGGGGCAGCAGTGGCAGCAGTAGCCAGATGTGGGGTGGCAGCAGTAGCCAGATGTGGGGTGGCAGCAGTAGCCAGATGTGGGGTGGCAGCAGTAGCCAGATGTGGGGTGGCAGCAGTAGCCAGATGTGGGGTGGCAGCAGTAGCCAGATGTGGGGTGGCAGCAGTAGCCAGATGTGGGGTGGCAGCAGTAGCCAGATGTGGGGTGGCAGCAGTAGCCAGATGTGGGGTGGCAGCAGTAGCCAGATGTGGGGTGGCAGCAGTAGCCAGATGTGGGGTGGCAGCAGTAGCCAGATGTGGGGTGGCAGCAGTATCCAGATGTGGGGTGGCAGCAGTAGCCAGATGTGGGGTGGCAGCAGTAGCCAGATGTGGGGTGGCAGCAGTAGCCAGATGTGGGGTGGCAGCAGCAGTAGCCAGATGTGGGGTGGCAGCAGTAGCCAGATGTGGGGTGGCAGCAGTAGCCAGATGTGGGGTGGCAGCAGTAGCCAGATGTGGGGTGGCAGCAGTAGCCAGATGTGGGGTGGCAGCAGTAGCCAGATGTGGGGTGGCAGCAGTAGCCAGATGTGGGGTGGCAGCAGTAGCCAGATGTGGGGTGGCAGCAGTAGCCAGATGTGGGGTGGCAGCAGTAGCCAGATGTGGGGTTGCAGCAGTAGCCAGATGTGGGGTGGCAGCAGAAGGGGGGGGGGTGGCAGCAGTGAGGGCAGTGAATACGGTGTTATCTGAAGACTTAAGCAGCCAGGTACATTAATCTTATCTGCGCCTCGCCCAGACCTTGCGCTGATAACCTCTACAACCACCATTATCAGCTGTAACCTGCACTTCCAACCACTGCCACCTGACCACTCAACTGCCACCTGAACCTTCAACACCACCTTTACCACCCCACTACTGCCACCACCTGAACCTTTACTGACAACGACCTTCAAACAAAATCAACACCTCCTATATCATCTTGACTGACAACATTGACGCCACTACTGACACCACCACTAACTACTACATGGGCTTTGGGAAGGTTGGGGGGGGGAGAGGAGCACATCTATACTTGGGAGAACTCAAATGAATTTGAAGAAAGCAGAGGAGTACAAACTGGACCCACCAGATCCATTGTTAACCACAATGAAATGTGCCAAACAAAACGGCTGCCTGGGGCAGGTAACAAGGGGGCCTGGTCGAGGACCGGGCCGCGGGGACGTTGAGCCCCGAAATCATTGCAAGGTAACAAGTCAGTAGACGGACAGGCGCTGTCACCGCTTGAACAAGCTACAGGTGTACAGGTGTATTTTGGCAGTTCAGTTTGCATGAGGGACCAAGATGACACCAAGTGTAGTGTAAGAAAACAGGGAGACACTACACCAATACGTATTTTACGGTGAGAAAATGTTGTCATTTAGAGAGATCTAAACGTAAGTTGCATGAAATGCAAATCACATTACATCTAATAACATATTGCATTTCTGCACTGTGAAAATTTTGCTTGTAGCAGAGAAATATGTCATGCTGCCCGAAACGCTTTGCGTAATAGTGGCTTTAGGCATTGTATGTACTAGCTCTATCTATAAAGCCAACAAACTTTGTAAAATCTCTATGTATGTACCTTACCTAAATAAAAAAATTATTAATAAAAAATTAAAATTAATTAATTATAAATTAAATTATGAGAGCATATAAGCTGTGGCCTAAAATCAACCCGCAACTCTTCTACTGCCCTGTAATATTCAATATTGAAAATTACGTTGAGTACTAACTTAAATGACTTGCCTCCAGTGTGTAATAATATAGTCATACATCAATGCAAGAAGTGTTCTGCTATTATCATAATTATAAGATGTGTAGATAAATTGAAGAAAAATAACAACATTAACATCCACTGAAGCCTGATTAAGAACTTTTTTGCTCTGTTATCATTGTGTGCTACCCGCTCAAGAATATTGAGCGCCCGATACTCATCCTGTGAGCACCCGTTCACAGGACGAGT